TCATAAAGAAGAATGGAAAGATGGAACTAAAAAGAAGGGGGAAGTATTATACCCACTCTTCAACCTTGTTCACCACATGACTATCTAAGAAGGGCATCCAGCCATTGTGGGTTGTCATGTTGTGCAAACCCAGTGCCATTTCTGCAAGGTTGGTTATATTTTGTGAACAAGCCATTTCGAGAACCTATGGCTTGTTTTAGGGTTGTTGGTACCCCTGTCGGTCTGCTGTGCCATCTAAACCTGGAAGGGGGATTTTGTCATGGACTCCCAGGAATGGCTGGAGAGCAACACTGCCACCCAACCAAAGCAGAAAGAAAGGACATGTGGCTCATTTTTCATGATTTTGCCATTGCCTGCCATTCTACTGATGTCAAAACAGCCCTTTGGAAGGATCATTTCTGATTCTACAGTTTTTTTCCTCCAATGCCTCAAAACAACACAGTTGGGCTTATAATGTTTAGTATTATTATATTTTCAGGCTTTTCACAAGTGTGCAGGTGCACACATATGACTACCCAGTAGATTGGAGGAGCCAAATGAGTGAGTGCATCAAAGAGGGCAGAACAGCATTGCCACCTTGGTGGTATGATTCCCTTGATTTGAACTGACACTTCTAAGTGTCTTACATCTTTTCAACACTTCCCAACTTCCCAGCTATACCAGGAAGGGAAGAAACGAATCACCCTTTTTTCATGGTTCCTTTTTGGAGGAGTTACTGCTGTGGTTACTGCAGACTCCTGACAATTTTTAGAAGACCACCGAAATTTAATTTAATAGCTGTGAAGTAAATGGAGATGAAATGGATGCACATTGAATGGCTGGGAATTAGGGAAGGAACACCTGCATAAACTGCCTCACCTCTATTTATTGTACATCACAGCCCTTAAACAGCCACAGATTTCTCCTCTGTTGACTTCCCAATCATTACATATTTCTGTGGGTTATTTTAGAACTGTTGGGAAATCATAGTAACTGTAGCAGTAAGTTCCCAAAGAGGAGGCGTCTTCCCTTTCTGCAGTAGCTGCAGACTCAGAAGAGCATTGAATAGACCACGAACACTCCAAATAAGGAGGATTACATTGCAAAGGGAGAAACCACACCCCCCGCATTTTTTGTTCTGCTACGTTCTCTCCCTGTACTGGTGCTTTTCAGTTGGCAAATTGTCAACTGGACCATAGCAACAGCATGCAAATTTGCCTTTATTTCCTTATTTAAAACATTTTATATCCCCTCCTATATCCAACCAGGATCTCTAGATGACTTACATAAAAATAGAACGGCAGTGACAAAGACAGCAAAATCCACAACAGTGCTTGCATACAATCACAACCTACAATATATAAAAGTATGTAATAAAATCATTCTAATCATTAAAATACTGGGCAAATAAAAGGTTTTGAGCTGGCTATGAAATGAATAAAGACTCTTTATTCATTTCAGTGCCAGGTGCACCTTTCTTGGGGGCAGATTCCACAGCCAAGGCACTAACACTGAGAAGGTCCTTCCCATAGTATCCACTCTTCTAGCCTTTTTCAAAGAGGGCTTCCAGAGAAGGACCTCAGCAGATGATCTTAATGTCTGGGTAGATGTATATGAAAGGAGACGTTTCTTCATATATCTAGGCCCTAACCCATTTAAATCACTGTGCTGCTGGGCTGGTAGATTGAAAGGTCGCCAGTTCGAATCTGGACAACGGGGTGAGTTCCCGTGCTCCGTCCCAGCTCCTGCCAACCTTGCAGTTCGAAAGCATGCAAATGCAAGTAGAGAAAAAGGTACCACTTCAGTGGGCAGGTAACAGCGTTCCATGCACTTCGGTGTTTAGTCATGCCGGCCACATGACCACGGAGACTGTCTGTGGACAAACGCTGGTTCCCTCGGCTTGGAAACGGAGATGAGCACCACCCCCTAGAGTCAGGCATGACTGGACTTAATGTCAAAGGGAAACCTTTACCTTTGTGTCAATGTTAACAACCTTAGGGCAGATGCAACCCTGTCCAGACTAGGACAAATATTACTCACCCACAGATGATCCACCTACCAACAGTGCCTCCATCTTACCTGGATTAAGCCTCAGTTTATTGGCCCCCATTCAATCCCTAATTCTGCCAGGCACCGATCCAGATTCATTTTCAGATAGTCTTTGCTTGTCACTGTGTGTCCTACTTCTCTACTCCATTCAACTGTCGAAACAAGCAAGAAAATTGACTAGACAAGAATACATATATTGGACAGCTGAAAATGTATATGCGAACACTTCTGAAAGACTGTTAACAACAAAATTATAAAATAAATTATTGCACAATTTTCAGGGGACAAAAAAGAAGATGGTGACAAAAAGGTGTAGCAGTCAGAGCTGGGAGGGGAAGACAAGATGGGTTCTGCCACAAAGGATACTGGGATACATGCTGAAGCAGCTGGAGGACTGAGGGAGAAGGACTGGGGGAACAACTCACAGTAAGCCTGATCATCTGTTAGGTGTACCACGGGTTATTCAGCAAATAGTCAACCCACGGTGGCTTGTCTTCAGGGTGACTTGGTGGCACGTGTGAATGCACCATCCTATTGGTTTCCATGGTTTCCTAAGCAACAACAGTTCTTTTCCTTCTCCCCAACATAGTATGTGGTGGCCAGTATACCTCTTGGAATGGGACTGTAATTTCTCCTTATTACCCAAGTTACTACCCACCAAACATTGACTGCCACTGGATTATCAGGGTATGTATTTTCAGAAGTAGCAATAAATAATGATATTTTAAAAAATCATTTATCTATTTATTGATTTTAAAAAGAAAATAATTTTCTTCTGGGACAAGAAACCTATAACTTTTATATCATATTAAAGATATTTGTTTATTTAAATGTCATTACCACCTGTGTTGTAGATCAAAATAGATTCTAAATCAGCCTAACATGAATGTGAATTATTCTTAATAAATGTTTATCTAATTCTTTATCAGTTCGGGGCAATTGATCCTCTGTCCTTACCTTCACAAGTTCAACCCTGTGAAGTAGGTTGGTTTGAGTGAGAGAATCAGCCCATGTTGTGGCTGAGTCAGACTCTGGACAAACGTCTCTCAGGTCCAAGTCCAGCACCTTAGCTGCTATGCCACATTTCAAGTGTTGAGTAAGTTGCAGCTGTGGAGAAAAATGACAAGTGGATAATGACAGGATTATAAATAATACTAGCACTAGTGGGTTGGTGTGGTGGGTTCTTTGCCAAGTCCCTTTTCTGTTACTATGTACAGAACACATTGCTTGTATGACAATGTATATATAGGGCATGACATAGTGACCCAGTGGTGAGACAAAACCATTCTGTTCATGCTCAGACGCTATTACTGAGCCTGTTCTCTCCACCACAGGGTGAGTTGGAAGACTGCACTATTCTCTTGAGTTACCAGCAGGGATTTAGTGACTGAGTGTGCCCCCATATAGACAGCAATTTCTAGCTAGAGAATGGACCAATAAAACCTGAAGCCAGCTCAAGCCTGCTCCACAAAAATTGTGAAATTGCTTTTGGCAAAAATTTGTGAGTCATTCATTTTCCTGCATCATGTCCAAAACTACTCGGGGAAATGGGGTTTGCGTTCCATTGCTTGATTATGCCTCACTGCATAACTTCTCTTCAGTTCTTTACATAACTTGCCTTCACTGAGAAGCAGATTGAACAATGGCTGTAGTGAACAGCTGTGCAGCCATGTTATCCAACCGGTATTTTCCCCGCAGAAATTTTGAACCAACTTGTATCTGTGAAGATACAGCTTTAGAGTGCAATCCGTAGAAGCAGCCCTTGGAGTATCCTGTGCCCTGGGGAGCTGCTGCCTACGAAGCAAGAGCATCTTCATATTTCCACCTTCCTTTTATGCATTTTTCTCTGGACTGTTGAGCCCATCTAGAGGAGGTGCACCAGCAGGGACTAAACTAGCTCATCTCTCCACTTCTTGCCCTGCCCACTGGAATGCCTCCAATGCCCTATTTTGAGCCTTGGGAGGTGGCCAGCACAGTTCTTTCAGTGACCACTGAGGCTGGGGTTTGCAAGCTGGGTTCCTTTCCTGAGGTCATAGTGGTGTCTGTGACCTTGGTGGGGGAACTCTGATAATCCTGTTTGCTGGGATGTTGTCCAAGAGGCCACAGGATAGTTCCCACCATCTACTTTAATGGGGTAAACCCATCCTTTAACAAAGCTAAATTCTGGGAAAGAACCATGAATGTGTGATTTAGGATGTCACTATCATTCTACCATGATTTGATGACTAACAGAGCAGTCCCATGTCCTATACCATCGTATGAGTCATAGGATTCCTTCAGTTCCCAGATCCAAGGCTGGAAAAAAGCTCTGACCTCAGCACATGCAGGGGGAAAAGGACAGTTTCTTCTCAGAGGCTGTATGAAAAATTTAAGAGGACTTTCTATGATATTCCAGGATGCAGGAATGAGACCAGGGAAGGGATGGATACAATACATATTGATGTAGTCCTCTCTTCCTGTCTCATCTAGCTGAGTCACAGGGCAGTGGGAACAGGGAGGTGATGAAGAGCACTTCTGCAGTCTTCCTCCCCTGCAGCAGATGGCCATAATTTGCCAAGTTCAGAGGCTAATTGGCATCCCCATTAGACTGTATTTTAAGACCCTTGTTGGATGTACATACATGGATACAGCCATCTTCCTTATGTTTTTGGACAGCAGCACCTTGAACACTAAGGGACTTTCTCCTCATACCACACAATCATATCATATGTACTCAGAAGTAAAAACCCAGTAAGTTGAATGGGGCTTACTCTAAGGAGCACATAAAAGATTGCAGATTTAATTGATTAAAGCTACAATCTGATAGTCATTCATAGGCTAATGGGACTTCACTCTTAGTAGATAGTAAGCATTGCAGTATTAATGTGCTGAAAAAAATGCACAGGTTATTTTGAAGTATAAAAGGGAAGAAAGTGCAATATATATTCTTTCCTGTATGTTGGTGTTCTAAACACTTCCTTTGTTCATCCCAGGCACCACTACCTGGTTATAAATTACAGTTGAAAATCCTTGTAATACAAGTCCAGGAACAGTCTCAAGGTTCCAGTAAATGTGATAAGGATTGGCTGGAAATTGATGGAGTTAGGTGAGCTATTATTTTGTCTGCTACTTTCTCCACAGAGGCTTAAGAGTAACTTGTTCATCTGTTAGACAAGCTCTTGTTCATATATTAAGAGTTACAGTATTTCATTCCTGATAACAAGAAATGCTAGAAAAATTGGTAACAAACATTAGAACAAAGCATAAAAACGTGTATCATGTTCATTGGTGACCACAATACTCAGGAAGAAAGCATGCTTCTTGTAATTAAACGACATCCCTGCCATTGCAGATTTTGTCACTGAAATTATTTAAAAACAAAAACAGGAAATGAGGAAGAATATGCAGTCAACGGGACTTTTAAAATTTGCACATCCCTTTGCTCTATGTAGAATGGCTTTGGGTCAGTGGGAATTACTTTATTTGAAGAATACCTCTGCTTGCACTTCTGGATTTCCCCTTCCTCTCATCTCCCCTGTACTCTGCAACCCAATGTGATCTGGAGGGTCCCCCAACTGGAGAAATTTGGGGTGCACACAACAGAGCTCATGGGAGGGTGAGTCTATTCTGTCAGTGGTGGCTATTCTGCTGGCAGAAGGACGCCATTGGGTACGACGTGCATTAAGCATTTCTAAATTTCCATTTCCTCTTTTTAGGTGACCCTAGCTCTATGTAGCACGGTCAATGATTTTTGAAAGTTCCCCTAGTTTCCCTCTAGTGGCTTGACAGTGAAAAGGAAAGGGGGTGGGAGAGGAATTTTCTTAAGATTCAAAACCTTGACTGAGACTGTACTGACATTGTACTGAGATCAATGTGGAAAGAGTGAGCTTCTCTGTGTAATAAGGGCCCATTCATGAATCACCAGAAAAGATTTCAGCCATCTAAATGTTCTTCCCCAGCTTGTAAAGAAAGGAGGCTCAGGCACCTCCAGGATTCCTGCTAGCATGACTGTGCCTCTCTGCTTCCCTCTCTGAGTCCACAAGCCAGTCTCGGAGTCTGCAGCCAGTGAGATTCTTTCTGAGTCAGCTGTGAGGGTGAAAGGAGGGTGTCCTGAAGCCAGATTCTCAACTCTATCCCACTGCACATGTTGAGATCAAAACTGGTACTCTAACTCATGATCATATAGGCTGTTTCTAGAGGCCATAGGATTGCACCCTTAGTAAAGTTTTTCTTGCACTTTAAAACTGTGTTCAAATTACTTACCAACTGCATTCATATTGGGCCCAAGTGGGGTGGGGCAGGCACAGCCATTCTACTTATTACCACCATTGGGGTTTCATTATGTAACCTTTTACATGTGCTAGGTTTATGAGAGAGAGAGAGAGAGAGAGAGCGCTGTAAAATGGTACATTTGTTTTGCTATGGGGAACTGAATGCTCAGTTCATTGGTAATGCATGGCATAGATGTATGTTTACGAGCCTTTTCAGGATTTTTCCTGGGAACAGGAACAAAGCAGCACAACAGCTTGTGGACATGTTTCACGACGACGTACCTGTGCACTTTGTTGCTTAATCATGCAGTCTATTAATTTAGTCCCCTGTATTGCCAGGGAATCGTCTCTTGACCCTGAGGAAAACATGAAAAGAAAGGTGCATTGGATATCTAGGGGTTCTCTCACTTTTAAAAAAGAATTCTGCAAACCTCTGCAAAAACCATTTGTATACTTATGCAAAAATCATGTTTCCCCCACATATTTTGAAACCCAAAGCTCAGAAACACAGGACTTAATTTTATGAAAAAGCTAAACATGCAAGCAGAAGAGAGTTCCCAGAGGGGAATTCCCTTTTAATATGATGCAGGAAAGTGTCCAAATATATAAAAGAGAGCTTCATTTGTGTGGGGAAGGGGAAAGGAAAGCAACACATACAGCATTCCAAATTTATTTTTATTTTTTATTTATTAAAACATTTTTATGCCGCCCCATTCGCCAAAGCCTCGGGGTGGCTTACATAATAAATCAAAGGTTAACCTAACTTAGCAAGAAGCATACTTGGGTAGATACTTGGCATCTAGAACATATACATATTTCAAAACAGAGGATAGTTTACAAGAGCACATCTTGATCTCCAATTAAATGTTATTAAGTATAACCAGGAGTACAAAAAGCGATATGGACATTCAATTTCAGGAAAATTTTCCCTTTTAGCATGGATTGTTTGTTTTATCCTCTCAAGTGATACCCTCCATTTGGGATGTCATCAGTTTAGCCAGCAAACCAGAAAATTCTTAGTAGCTGGATACACTTTCCTAAACCAGTAACGCTATTATGAAAAAAAGACCTCAGGTGTTTGGATGTACATCTCAGCATGGTGCCAACTTAACAAAATCTCTAATGAGCTTTATTGAGCTAAATCAGAATATTGGACATTCCAGGCCACCTATAGTAGGACCTGGAATACATTTTGTTACAGGTGCCACTTTTAATACACAACCACCAATAGAGACAAAAGAATCTGATTCATGAAAACTTGTCCAAATGGCAACAATATGGCAATAATTGGTTAGCCCAATTGAAATGATATACGATATGGTTGTAATTTCCTTCTGTTTCTTCTTATTAGATACTGTAAACCTATTGCAGAAGGCAGCAGGGTCAAGGAGTATGGCTATTCAGTTTCAATCACCTTCCATTCAGATGAACTGGTCACACACAGAGGTTTTTGTATTGAATTCAGAGCTTTCAGCCATACAGACCGTGAGTAGACACAGATATGCTTAATGTCAGCTTTGGGGTAGTGATTCTAAGACCTGCTACAGGGTGATTTGAATTCTATTTCTTCTCTTATGAAAGTCAATGAGATTTGATTCAGTAAGCCACCCCGAGGCTTCGGCGAATGGGGCGGCATAAAAATGTTTTAATAAATAAAATAAATAAATAAAATGTCTTTAGTCTACTTTAGATGTCAATTTTAACTGTTGCCAGTTGTCAAGATTTCTTAAGGGAGTTGACAAACTGAAGAACACCTTTTCTAAAGCACACACACCACTATATCTGCAACTAATAGAAGGCTACGGAAGACTTCCATTAGACTACTCAAGTTTTTACCCCATGTCAATTGATTAGACCTTACTGGTATAAGGTAGTTGAGGATCAGTACTATTCCACTCAGCAGGCATAGCTTAAAGTTAGGATTCCTCTGTGACTCAGTGACATCCTGAAGGTAGTTGTCTGAAATATTTTTTCTTTCTTTTAGCCTGTCCTAAGCTATTTAAATGTTCTGACAGAACATGCATTCCTTTGAACAGTAAGTGTGATGGGTGGAAAGACTGCACAGATGGAAGTGATGAAGTAGATTGTGGTAAGTTGATCACAAACTGATCGTTTAAATGCTGCTTAGTGAAGCATTCATCGGAAAGGGGCATCTGATCTTGAAAACGAAAATAAATAGCATCTTCTGGCTAGTCAATGCTTCAGTAGATCATGTAACTTACTCATTTGTTTAAAAAAATTTGGATCACACTACTTGATTGTGTGTCTCTCCTTACCCCAATCTACCTGGACATTATGGTCACCATCCAAAGACTTCCTCTGAATGCCAACTCCAAGGGAAGCTTGGACGGCAGCAGTAAGCGGCCCAGACTTTTCAATGTGGCCCCTCAACTGTGGAAATCTCTCCACACTAAGGCCTGCATGACACCAACTTTGTCATCCTTTTGGCATCAGGATAAGGCAGCCTTCAGTGTCAAGGCATTTAAAGATATTTAAGTGTTATCTAATGGTTTGATGGGGTATTTATGACTTGTAGTTTACAACAGGTCTAGTCTATTTTAGATACCGTGTCACTGTTGAATTGTTTTAAAAATTAAATCTATTTTAAAATTCTCTATTATGCATAATTTAGATGTTGCTTTTAATATATCATGGTTCTGTTTAGCAACTGTTGAAAACTGCCCAGAGGCTTTGTCTGTGTGATGGTTTATAAAAAAATAAATAAATTTAAGATGTTTAAGAGTTTAGTCAAGAATCAATCATGTAAAGAACTCTGAACAGAAAAATCAAGCAAAGCTTAGGCTAAACATACATTCCTGGCCTTCTGCAGGAAGATACTATGAAAGTCATAGCCTTACTAAAGTACATGGAACTGCTGGGACAAATGTTGATTCCATAGTTTAATTAGTTTTACATTGGTCTTAGTGAACTATAATCCTAGGTTTGAGCTGAGATTAGGTAGGGTAGAATTCATTTACGCTGTCATCTAACAGAATTCCAGGATATCACTAAGCTACTATTACTAAGGCTCATTTCAAAAACATGAGAGTAAAAGTGATATCAAACCAATGTAGGTCTGCAGTAGAGAAATGCACACAGAGGACAATGGCTAGTCACACAGAGGAAATACTGCAGACTTGACCATGGAATTCTCCCTTAGGTTGTAATCCAGTGGAGGCTGGCTGTGGTAATGGGAAGTGTAAACTCCATTCCAGGTCTTGCAAAGGAGATAACAGCTGTCAGAATGAAAGCAAGGAGGAGCAGGAGGAAGACATTTGTTGTAAGCATAACACAAACTAGTTTCACACTAGAGATGGGAATGAAGGAGACAAATCTCAGGAGTGCTTTCATTTTTCTCTTACCTATACAGCTCATATATGAATTGATAAATCAAGTTGGTTGGATAGCTCATACAGTTGGCAAGCACTAGCATGACCACAAAGTTTGCATACACTTAAATCCTGTCACATATCTAATTTTTGCTTATATAGCAGACACTTGATTGGTTTAATGCAATAGGCATAAAGCTGCACTTTGTTTTTAATTTAGTGTTCCTCTGTCACTTTAGGTTGTACAACTTTTACTGCACATTCATATACGGAGAAGTACAAGGGTTTTTTTGTGCACATGAGCTCAACAGTTCTATTTGTCTATATTATCTATAATGTCATAGGCAACAGGCCTATGACATTACACAGTAAAACACTTTTTGTAAAATTGATTGTATTAATTACAAGCCTTGACCTAAGAAATGGCACCATCTTCCTTATCTGTCGTATTTTGTCATTTCAGTGTATAGACATTGTTCACAGCATTCATATCAATGCCTGAATGGAAAGTGTCCATTAAAGCTGAACCCAGAATGTGATGGAATAAGAGACTGTACAGACGGATCTGATGAAATGAACTGTGGTATGTCCTGAACCTGTGAATTACTGAAATGAATTGAAATTCCTGCGTGTGTTTCAGAAGTTGTAGCAGGAATGCAAGCTTTGTGTGTGTTCCAAAAGGCACATGGAGCTCCCAAAACAAGGCCAGTCCTGCTTGCATGATGGGACTGAATGCCTGCAACCAAAGTTCATGGACAACTGTGTATTTTCAATGGAACTCTTGCGTGGCAAGCTGGGGAATGAGGGAGCTGTAGAACTTCTTTCTGTCTACACATGCTTAGGATTGTAACCTCTTAATTTCCTAAGACCAAGGCAAGCATTAGAACAACTCCATGAAGGCTAGAGGGATTGACTTTGCTAAGGTTTTTTCCAACCCTGGGGGAGATAAGTACTATCAAGATATAATGTATTCTGGTAGTATTTCATCCTCTTTCCTACACATTCCAAAACACCTCAGTTGCATGGCCGGTTGCTTTGCAGTGTGAGAGGAGCACGGTGGTATTCAAACATCTCCTCTGCTTTAGGGTATCTAAAAACAAGTAGCCCTATAGGACTGCATACAAGGGCATACACTGTCCTGTGCTCTTGAACTTCTTTCAGCCCAAAGGCTAACTTTAGTTTGGGAAAAGCACAATCCAGCGGTAGGTGGGTCTGAAGTCAGAGAGGCAGTGTCAAATACATGAAAAATACATGCATGCATGTATTAAAGCTCTTATTACGAGCAACTAAGCCTTTGGAAATGCATTGCAGCATTTCAGAATGAGGTAAAGCAAACAAACAAATGCCTGGAAATGATGAAATGATGGGGAGGTTTATGGGAGAGGACTAGGGAAGGGGTATGAACCAGGGCAGGATCTAGCTCAAATCCATGTACGTTAGATTTCGCCTGCAGCTCAATACCCTGGACTGCAATTTAAGGGCAACTTAGAGGAAGCAGTCTTGGTCTAATTCAAATGCCCACAGAACCCCTTTTACACATTTTTAAGGCTCAAAACTTAAAAATTTCAAAGCTGAGGAATAAAGGCAGGTAGGGATTGGAGTAGGAAGGGACCAGGATAAGGACGCAAGATGGGTTCTGCCTCAAAGTCTCCTGGGATACTTGGTAGCATTGGCTGCAGAACTGCGGGGGAAGGTGAGCGAGACGAACCCACAGTAAGCCAAATCATCTGTCGTTAGTGAACTATCCACACCGTGTGGATTGTTTGCAAGGGTGGTTTTGCATGATGTGAGAACCCACTCATTGTATTTCATTAGACTTCTGCATACTATTCAGACCTATTAAAATCTTAATTGGCTCCTTCCCACTGAATTCATTCCAACTTGCCTCCTAATTGCTTGTGCCTGCAGTTCCCCAATTAAGGAATGCCAATTAAGGAATGATTTTTATGCTCTTGCATTGTTCTGGAATAAAGAATATAAAGGAGCAGCAGCTGGATCAGGAAGAGGCCAGGATAAAGAGACAGGGTGTGCAGTGATGCAAAGTCCCCTGAGATATGTTCAGAAAGCAGCTGGAGGACTGCAGAGGAAGGAGGGGAAGAGCAACCAACCACAAGTTTAATCTTCTGACAGGAGTACCAGTTGTTCAGTAAACAACCCAGTTTGTAGCTTATTCACAGATGTGGCTTAACATGACATGTGAACACAAACAGTTTCTCCCCAGTTGCTTGAGTCTTTCCTGATGTCTGAGTCTGCTGCTCCACTGTTCTTTTCTTATTTACCCTCTTCAACTCCTGGTTCCACCCTTAATATGTTGGTGTTGGTGATGACCTATAAAGCCCTAAACGGCTTGGGTCCTGGTTACCTGAAGGAGCGCTTACGTCCATATATGCCCAGCCGCCCCTTGAGATCAGCAGGAGAGGCCCTCCTCCGGGAGCCCTCGGTGAAGGAAATTAGGAGGGTGGCTACTCGGATGAGGGCTTTCTCAGCGGTGGCGCCTAAGTTATGGAATGCGCTCCCCAGAGAGGTCCGCCTGGCGCCATCGTTATTTGTTTTTCGGCACCAGGCGAAGACCTTTTTATTTATGCAGCATTTTAAATGTTAATATTATTGAATTTTATTTGGCCAGGGTGGCTTATTTTATTTTACTGTATATATTTTAATTGTTATTGTTTTAATGTATTTTGTATTCGATGTTGTAAGCCGCCCCGAGGCCTTGGCAAGGGGCGGCATAGAAATGTTTTAATAAATAAATAAAATAAATAAATAATATGGAAATCCTGACTGGGGATAATGAGAGTTGTAGTACAGCACTTTTGGAGGTCACAGGTTGGGGAAAAAGCAATTTGTTTCACATGGCAATGCACATTCGAAAGACCGTTTAGTTCTATGCTTTACAAAGAGTAAATTCTATGCATATTATGTATTTTTATTAGCATGTGGAAGGAGTCAGATAAAAAAACCCAGAATTGTTGGTGGTGAAGATGCAAGGTCTGGAAAGTGGCCTTGGCAAGCAAGCTTGCAGCTGGGAACACATGGCCATGTTTGTGGTGCGTCTATTGTTTCAAATAGGTGGTTAGTGTCTGCTGCCCATTGCTTTCAGGATTCTGAAGCCATAAGGTATGTATGCTGTGATTTAAGGAATGTATTACTGGTAGCTGATAGTCGACCACCTGATGGTTGCTGCTTTCGGTTTATGATTCAGCATAAAGTTTTAAGCGTGTTTTATCTAGTCTTATGAACCTGAACCACCTTAAGTAAATACCTCTTGGCAAAAAGTTTGACAGGCTGCAATCCTATGCCCACTTGCCTGGAAGAAAGCCCCAGTAAACTCAAAGGGTTTCACCTGCACATGATTGCAGTGCTGTCTTTTTAACTTCACTGTTGTAGCCCTCCTGATCTTTTGCCCTGTAACTAACTTCAGCCCTAGTCAGCAGGCACTGGAGAGGGTTCATGGAAGTCCTAGGCCAAAACATCTGGAGGGTCACAAATTTCCCAGTCCTGTTCAGTGGGTTAACTAAGAAAAACCTGGATCTATCCAGGAGCAAACTAGATGGGAAAATATTCTCTATGATTATAATAAAATCATATAGTTTCCTTGTCAAAACAAATTCGCTTGAATGGTTATGAATCATTTAGCTTCAGTGAATGAAACAAAGTAATGGGAAGTGTTTGCCATGAAAGCAAAATGGAACATCCAGGTTTAGTGGCTGATGCCACTGAAAACTAGTTTCTGGGGTGCAACAGTGAATGTTGCTTGTATGTGCTGTTTGTGGTTTTTCCTGTTGCATGTGACTAATCATGATGAGAAATGTGATGGATCTGGCAGGTCTGTGCATCCAACAGGACTCGTCCTAACTTATTGTCTGGAAGTTGTTTGTGATTTTGCAAAGGGACCAGCAAAGAGCTTGCCTTTCCTTGTCTGGTAAGGCCTAATACGGCAGAGGCAGACTGAAATGAAAGAGGCTGAGGAAGACTGGCAGTGAGTGTGGAGAAATTTTGTGATGGCCTAGGCAGCTGCTGGCCATCATGAGATTTCAAGACTAGGTCTTCTGATGCCTGAAGTCTCCTGGCTGTTGAGCGATTGGTCAGGGCAAGCTGTGTGACCCACACACTGACACTCAGAGCACTGTGAGTTGTTTCAGCTGGCTGCCTTTTTGGCAGCTATAAGGGCTTTTTAAAATCCCAATTGCCTGAGCCATGGTGTCAAGCAGTTTGGATGCCAGGCAGGCATTAGAAGTACTGGGAAATGTGAACTTGATTGAGAATCCCACATCTACAAAAATATGGACTTGATCTGAATTATGCATGGTGCAGAGAAGTGGAAAGGAATATATATTTCTCCTTCTTCCATAATACTAGAACCCAGGGTCATCCCATGAAACTTATTAGTGGGAGGTTTAGGATAGATAAAAGGAAGTTGTTCTTTACACAACATATAGTTAAACTATGGAATTCACTGCCATGGAAAGTGGTGATGACCACTAATTTGGATGATTTTAAAGGGGATTGGACAAGTTTGTGGAAGAGGAGGCTATTAGGGGCTACTAGCGTGGCTGGCTGTGTGCTACCATCTTTCCGGAGGCAGCCAGTCTGTGTATACTAGTTGCTGAGAAGCTTAGGCAGGCAGAGGTCTTGCACCCATCAGATCATTGACCTGATCCAACATGGCTTTTCCTATATTCTTGTGTTCTTATGAAGGAGACGCAGAACACATGCATGGTATGCAAAAGCTTCAGTTAACTTCCATACAAGACTGGGAAAGGCTCTGGCTTGAAATTCTAGAGAGCTTCTGCCAACTTCTCTCTGCACTGAGCTAGATAGATCGATGCTTTGATTCAATATCAAACAGGCAGCTTCCTATAATGGAACTGTTTCATTCACCCTAATGTAATTTTCAAGTTCAAAGGTTTATTTTGAACTACTTAAAAAATAATGCTGTCCTCTTTATTAGTCTGCTTAGTCATCTACAAGTGCAATCACATGTCCTCAAATCAGGCAATATTATTTATTGATTTGAATGTCTATTTTGCTATTATCTGGTACCACAGTGTGGTCTATTTCATGGCTTTTATGAATGTTTTTATGAAGTCCAACTGAAAAATGATCTTGCACTATCCTTGTTAAAATTAAGGGCCATGGATAAGAACAGCACTCAGAGGGTTGCACTCTTTGTCTGTTTTCCAGATACTCTGTAGCTTCCAGCTGGAAAGCATATGTGGGGATAAGAATCATTAACAAAAACAGCAATAATTATGTAGCGATGAGATCGATCAAAAGGATTATTATCCACCCACATTACGACCAACATATCTCAGACTATGACATTGCGCTGTTGGAAATGGAGGCACCAGTATTCTTCAATGAGCTGGTACAGCCCATATGTTTACCAAGCAGTCCTAGAGTATTTATTTATGGAACTCTCTGCTATGTAACTGGCTGGGGAGCCGTAAAAGAAAATAGTATGTTCATTTCTGGATATGCTTAATGCAAATTGCAAGTTTCCCTAATACACTGTACCTTTTTGTAGATTTTAACTGTAGGCCACTTTGAAAGCCAGTCTTCACCAAAGAAGTGGTTTTTAAATATAATTTTAAATCATCTTTAATGGAACAAAATGAAAAAAGGCCTGACCAGGTGTGTCAGTTCTAATGACTGTGCCCTGTAGAAGTCTTCATTCCCCTTGGATTTTTCCATATTTTGCTGTGTTACAAACCAGTAATTGAAATGGTTTTAATATGAATTGTTACTACCTGGTTTATACTAATATTCAACATGGTAAAGATGCAAATTATTTTTATTGTAGCATAAAAGTTAAGTAAACAAAACCAAACTAGCTCTTGCTGGTTGCACGAATATTTAGTAAGGGTAGAGCTAAAAAAATTTCTGGAACATACTGTACATCTGCTATATGACAAATGATGGAGGCCTTTCATTTCAATGTATTCTTAAGGTTGGCAAATGCTGACATTAGTAAATGTCAAGGTTGGGAAACTGGAAAATTCACTAATGGGCAGTTGGTAAATTTCATAGGCTACTGGGAAGAGAATTCCCTTGGTTTATATAAATATGTGCATTTATATTGACATTTAATAAATGAAAAATCAATCCTGCCATTCCCAAAAAAGTGTCTTGGGAAACCCAGGATTGTTCAGAAGTCCTGATCCTGAGGCTGGAGATACTGCTACAAACTTAGGAGTGGACTCTGAGGTTCAGCCCCTTTCAGCCATGTTGGAAGGAACCATGCCAGTTGGTCCACTGAGTTAAAATTTGGCATCAAAGGGAAGGGAAGGGGGTATTCTGGTGGGCAGGGAGCGGAGCGGAGAGAAAAGGCTGGGATATAAGAAATGTCCTCTCTAGCCTGAGTTCCTGGTAATGATCCTCCTCCAGATGGGCTTAAATGCCTATGCAGGGGGGTGGTCTGTAAAAGGAGGATGGGCAGGTGAAAGTTGCATCTGCTACTTCTCTTGTCCTGCTGGCACTGGCCTAGCATGACACTGTATGAAGATCAGTTCTCAGCCCCCACATTCTGACGCTTCCTTCTAAGGGGACTAAAATTCTAGGAATTTGTTTTGAAAAAAAATATTATGAAAATATATGATCAAAGCAAAAACCTATAGACAAAATCTTGATAGCTTTTGATTTTCAGCTTTTCAGTATTCAATCTGAACTATTAAATTTGACTTACCCAATGTTTCTGTTGATTTAGGTCAGCTTGCAAAAACACTGCAGGAAGCTAGAGTGAAAATAATTAACCAAAGTGTGTGCAGTAGGCTTTATGATGATCTAATCACTTCCCGGATGCTGTGTGCTGGGAATCTTAATGGTGGTATTGATGCATGTCAGGTAAATCTGAAAGTAAAACTGTGAAAAGCAACCATTACCTGTATAGCTGTTCTTTCCAGTAAAATTTCAGATGAAAGGGAAATTTATAAAACTAGATTTCTAATCACAGCTGTGCCTAAACCACAATTTCATCTCTTGGTAATGCTTGTATAAAAGCTACTTTTATTATTTTATTTATATATTCACTGCATTGGCCCATCACCTTCTATAAAATGTCCAAAAAGTCTTACAGGCTGAAGTAATTAACATCCAAATCATCACCAGTAATACTGCTACTATAATAATAATTGTGTCTTTGGAGCAATGAAAAATGTCTTTCTCTGCATATATTCAGCCTGGTGTGGGTGTGGGGTGGATAAATGGAAGTTTTCTGGGGCTAAGAAAAAACTTCATCCCATTGCCACTGCTTCACTACTTCCTCCAACTATCATCAACACCTAGCACAGTCCAGTAAGGGTACAATTGAGCAGAGATGCCCACAAGCCTTGGGACTTGAATGATTATAGGCATCCTAGACCAGGAGCAGAGTGTGGCTTCTATGGCACCACTGCTCTAAGTCATTCACCCAGCATACGAAGGTTCAGATGTTATCAACTCATTAACCTCCCATGTTTTCCCATCACTGCTTCCTTCTATTTTGTTACTGCAGTTGAGCTGTTAAGAAAGGTCATAAAAGCTGCACAAAGTTTTCTCATCAGTAGGGCTAGCAACCATCTGTCTAGAAGCCCCACTTCACCCCACCTCTAAATAAATGTAATTAGGCTGGCATTCTAAATCAGTTTATATCTAACTATGGGAATTCCTGGGGCTTAGCAACCTGGGCCTCGTGTCTTTCTATCCTAAATGTCAACATGAACTGAAATAATGTCTCAGGCATGTGGGACCTAAGTTGAGCTCTGTTCCCTGTTTCATTGAGCTTAATCTATGCAGGAAAGCAGGCTTCAGCATGCAGATCCCTGTTCCTATTCTGGTCCAGGTAATGTACTTATAAAAGAACATTGTGATAGAATTCCAGTTGTTGGATTCCATTATGCAGCACCTGTGGTTGCAAGGCACAATTTCCTTTGTTAGATTGGAACCAAGCATACTGTTCCAATGCCATTGGAGATGCCCATTATTAGCTGGGACAACACTAATCCCAGGTATCCAGGTTTCTAGCTCTGCCTATTGCCAAGTCTAACATTGATATTTTGGGTGAATAAATGTATCATTTGTCCGCAATTGTAGATATGGACTTGTATATTTTGTCCTTTATGCACAGGCATGGAACCACACAAAGGTGAAAGTAAGTTCTATCATAATGTAATATTAAATGTGAATGTGCAAAGTAGTGCAGCAATGCCTCTTCTAATAGTGAGATTTCTGTTCTTGTCTTTAGGGTGATTCTGGAGGTCCATTGGCCTGCTTAGGAAAGGGAAACAGATGGTACCTTGCAGGCATTGTCAGTTGGGGCGAAGGATGTGCTCGAAGGAACCGTCCTGGAGTTTATACAAAAGTCACAGCACTATATGAATGGATTAATCAATACACAAACTGACATAAGGGTTGGGGAGAAAGCCAAAAGTATATATACAGCCTTACTGGAGGCCCTTAATTATGATGAACAAATCAGATTTTATACAAAATAAAGAGAATCTAAAGAAGGGACATTATAACTGGTTTGTGGTTTGGCACTGTATGTGTGTGTTTATGCAGGAAAATACTATGAACACTTGGAACCATCTTCAATTTACTGAGGCTTTCCACATGATCTCCTGTTTTGCTTTACTTTGTTTAATTTTGCTTATATTAGCATAGCTGCTACTCTGAACTGGTAAATATTACATTATTAAGGCTATGTTCCAGAAACTGATCTGAATATGTAAGAAGGAGCAACATTGTTGAAACTAAGCAAGTCTGAATCTGGTCAATGCATGAAGAAATTGTCTTTTGAACCTCCTATATATTGCCTTCAGTTGCAGGATGGCAGCAAGGGAGTACAGAAATAAATATATGCAAAATGTGATGTGCACTAGTTTTGTATTGCCCTCTTTTGCTTTTCATTGTCCTTTTCTTTTCCATAGATTGCAGCCAATTCTTGGAGGGGAGCCAGAATATGTCTGTATTTTAAGAAATAACTTACTTCTCTTGGCTTTGCAAAATTGCAAAGAGGGGAGAAGGGTCATATATAGAGGAACTGCAAATTTGAGGGAAAAGGGGTCCATTAGTGTGAATAGAATGACAAATAGTAATATGGATTTCTTCACTGTTGTTAGTGAAAACAGAACCTCAGCTTGGTGACTGGGCTGAGGTCCTCATATAGTATTGTTTTTCCAAACAAACATAAAGGGAATCATGTGCTGATTAGTTTAGGATTGTACTGATAACTGCTACAGCAGTGGAATCCTGAACATGTCTATTCAGAAGTACCACTGAATTCAATAGGGTTTACTCTCAGGCAAGTATGGATAGGATTGCAACCTAACTGTTATAGTTTATATTTTGTTGACATCAAAATTATGTATACTTTCAATGAAGAAATTGGGATTATGAAAATCTTTGCATAGCTTGGCTCAATCATAAGATATTTTACTGGAGATCAAGGTAAAGATCATCTGTTTATTGCATTTGCAATTGCTATGCCTGGGTGTGAAAGCTGGACAGTGAAGAAGGATGATAGAAAGAAAATTGATACTTGTGAACTATGGAGTGAGAGCTTTGCTAATACCTTGAATTGACATAAAGATGACCAAGGGGGTCCTAGATCACATCAAGTCAGAACTTGCCCTGGAAGCAAAACTGAGACTGAGGTTGTCACACTTCGGGCACATCATGAGAAGGCAAGAATCACTGAAGAAGACAATAATTCTAGGGAAAGGCAGAACATAAGAAAAACCATGCTTGATCAGACCAGTTGACCATCCTGTCCAGTTCTCCTTACAGTGGCAAACCAGCTGCTCACAGGATCCCATAAGCATAGTGGGCACAATGGTTCTGCCTGCCTCCATGACGGAAGTTGCAGTACGGCAATGGAGCTAGTTACCAAGGGAAGTTGTGGGCTCTCCCACACTGGAGGCATTCAGGATGCATCTGGACAGCCATCTGAGAGGGATGGTGTAACTTGGAGTCCTGCACTGATCAGGGAGTTGAACAGAATGGTCTCTTGGCCCCTTCCAAGCCTAATATTCCATGATCAGCCTACACTTGTGGGGGTCTGCCCCAATGTGCATTATTTTATATCTGCTTCCATTGGACTGCATTTACCATTTTGATGCCCATTTTCACAATCCCTTTTGGTTTTAAACACCCTAAATAGTTTGGTGTAATCAGCAAACTTGTCCACTTCATTGCTTACCCCTAATTCCAGATCATTTATGAATATGTTGAAATTCACCAGTCTTAATACAGCACCCACTGATTATATCCCACTATTTGGAGAAATTACCATTTATTCATGCTTTCTGCTTTATGTTCTTTAACCAGCTGGGATCCATAAGAACTTTCTCCCCTCACTTTATTTCATTACAAGTCTGCTCAGGGCCTTTGGTGAGGGGCTTTGCCAAAAGCCTTTTGGAAGGCCAAGTAAACAAGGTCTACTGGATCACCCCTGCCCATGTCGCTATTGGCACTCCTAATGAAAGCTAACGAGTTGAGGCAGGGCCTATTCTTGTAGAAGCTATGTTGATTCTTTTTCATCAGCGGTTTTCCTTCTGTGTGCTTACTGATACTATCTTTAATAATATTTCAACAGAACAGATGTTCAGCTAATGGTCAGAACCCTCCCCACTACATCTCTTTTTAAAATTGGTGTTACATTAGCCATTCTCCAATCCTCTGGCACAAAAACTGATGTTAAGGTCGCATTAAATATTTTGGCCAGAAGGCCAGAAATTTCATATTTGTACTCTTTAAGAACTCTGGGCCAGGTGATTTACTGACTTGCAGATTGCTAATCAGGTTGAAAACTTCATCTTTTGTTGTGACTATTTGGCGTAATTCCCCCAACTCCTTTCCAGAATACATAAATTCTGGAAAAGGTCTCTATTCTGTTTCCTCTGCTGTAAAAACAGATTTTAAAAATCAGCTTCTTTCCAAGCAAAAGAAAAAGGCCAAACGGGAAATGGATTGTTTCCATAGGGCAGGCCATGGCCTTGAGTTTAGAAGAGTTGAGCAGAACTGCCAAGAGCAGGACAATTTGGAGAGCATTCATTCATAGAGTCACTGTATGTCAGAGACCACTTGACAGCATCCAATGGGTTGCTCATGTTATCTTTTTACTGCACAGAGGGTCATTCCAGGAAAAAGACTGTCTGATTAAAATGCCCTGCAGTCTATTTTGCCAGGGACACACTTGCTGATGTCCTTCATGATTTAGGGCTGCATTGCAATCAAGCAACTTTACTGGAATACTTTTCTATAAATTGCAGTTGTGATGCAATGAACAGGAAAGCAGTTGCTTTCCTAGGGAAAATCCAGTCCTATCTATCTGCCAAGACTGCTACTGGAGGAAACTTTTTAAGAGTTGAGAATGAGGCCAGTGAAACAGAAACAGCCTATTTCTCATACTTAGCTAGCTAGCAAAAAGTTCAGCAGGAAGTAGAAGGGTTTGTTGTTGCTTTTGGTGAACTGAAGTTTACACAGACCAGCATGTTTCAGTACTGTTTCTCGTCAAAGACATCATTCCATAAAAAATTGCCACAGCATCATCCTGGGGCTCAGGAAGTGGGCAGTACTATGCTATTTTTTTCAAAGCAATAACACCAAAAAGCAAACAGAGGTGAGGCATTAAATAATGTAGCTCAGGAGTGGCAGATGATTAAACTGTGAATGCTATGATATGGGAATGAGTAAGGAAACAGACTTACATAAGTATTTAGTTAATGATTGATCTTCAGTTTCTGCTTTCTTATCTACAAGAGAGTGAAAAGGTTCTGGAAACTAATAAAACAAAGAATGAATGCTCCATCAGAGACATAACTTGGGGGCATTACTATTTCTTTCCCTGTTGGATACTATGGAATGCCTATGGTGCATAGCTACTATCCATGTGGACTGGGTATGATGGGTGCTGCATTCTGACAGATCTGGAGGACACTAAACTGGGGACACTGCATTAAGAGATGAAACCTCAGAAGTGAAAACAGGATGTCAAATTACTGGAAGGAGATAGAGGGTAAAGTATACATTTTTATACTATTCCTTCACATATATCAATGTTACTATTACCAGTGTGATGACAAATGTGTGAAAGGTCTTGACTGAGGGGACTTTCATATGGAAAGCACCCAATATGATTCAGGTGTATGTATGTGTAGGTTAGTGATGAGGCATAGGGCATGCTCAAAGGTATCCCATCTGATTAATGGCCTCCATCTGTCGCAATAAAGTGTGAACATACTGGTTGATTTCTGTTTGCTTGGTTGCTTGTTTTTAAAGGCTTTCCTTCTTGTGATGCAGCCAGCAAAGCCTGAGGGTTTCCAGGGAAGACCTGCGAAATATTTGTATTGGAGGCAAAAGGTATTTGGTTAAAGTATAACTGGTATCCCCTATGGATAACACTTGAGTTGTTCTTTCACTTTTCATACAGCCTATATTTTAACTATTTTCTTTTTTTAAAAAAATGTTATGTACTCTGAGTGTCAAGGAATACCATGGATTAGAAAACTAAACAAATAAGAGTGCAACCCCATGCATATTTAAGCAGAAAGATGTCCTAAAACTCCCCAATACTAGGAATTTTAGGACTTTTTTCTAAGGGTTGCACGTAATGGAAAGATGTAAAGAATGGAAGAAAAACTCTAGCTTGTATGCCCTGTCCTGAACAGTTGATTGATGCAGGCACTTACTGGTATCATGGACCCATAGACGACATACACAAAGCATAATGTACGGGCAGCCATGAATTTAAATCTCCTCCCATGCCATTTTCTCCAAAGTAAGAAAAAGAAGACTGTAATGTTGCAATCCCATACACATGCATTTAGTAATAAGTCTTGAACACAGTGGAACTTATGTGTCAGAAGATACACACAGGACTACATAGCTAAGCCCCATCATGGGTGTATGACAGTGAAATCCCAAACTTCTTTACTCAGACATAAGCCACACTATTTTTTACTGGCGCTTACCTCCTGGTCAGTATGCATAGGATCGTAGGCTAATTTTGTATATATCTACTCAGAAGCAAGTCCCACTGAGTTCAGTGCATGTATATTTATGCTTGCAGCCTAAACCTTAGTATGTATTCACTAAATGCCTCAAAATGCCTCATTCAAGATTCAACTGGACAGCCATCTGAAAGGGATGGTTTAACTTGGAGTCCTGCAGTGAGCAGTGGGTTGTACTCAATAGCTCTTGGGCCCCTTCCAGACTCTATGATTCTATGACTGTATGATAGAATCAATTTCTGTGGGCATCTTCCACAATTTTAATTTCTTGTTAACTTCACATTTGAGGAGGCTTGGTCCACTGGAGTTACAGGATTGTATTTCAAGAACTTTATGGGAAATTCATGTTCAAATTTCCCTATGAAAATTTCAAGATTCGCTTGACATCTGCTTGGCAAGACTACCCTGATGTGATTGATACAGCTATTAATTCACCCATCTGCCACAGCTGAACAAGAGAGGCTTTGTATCTCATCTGACTCTGTCCTGCTTTAACCCACATTCACAGTTTCTCATGAGATACCTTGTTGCTAAAGTTCTTTGATATGTAATGAGGCCTTTTATTTCCGTGTGACAAAAGAATGAGCTTTATTACTCCATGGAGGGCTGGGTTGCCTTAGGTTAAGTTACCTGCTGATGTCTATAGAGGGCAGGATTAGTCAAGCAAACTGGAAAATCAAGACTTGCACAACTTTCAACTCTGCATTTCCCCATTCTATTGCAACTAGGGCTTCCTCACTACAGGTGCTTATTTTCCATGAACACTTTTGAAAACCGTAGCTTCATTTAATCGTCCCAATTTTCCTGGGAACAGCAGCAGCCCAAATGGAAATTACTTGCCTTCTGCTCAGTATCGCCAGAAACACAGCCAGGGCTCAAAATGGAAAGGAAGCCAGTTTTTCCTGTTGACTTATCTTGTGCTGAAAAGTCCTGTACCACACATTCGAAGCAATGAACGGCCGCGTTCCTGGGCGAAATCCAGAGTATATTGAGTGCAACGTAATTGTAGGGGAGGAAAGAGAAGAAGAAAGTGAGCCTAATTTAAATGAGCACCTCTACCAGGAAGTCCCGGGAGTTAATCAGGTAGGCCACTGAATCATTCATTTTCTGTTTTGAAAAGCTGTGTTGCTACAAAAGATTCACACCATGATCAAATGATAGGCATTATTTTAGCAAAATAAGGAATTTTCTTTGGAGTCGTTTGAATGTTTACTGAAACTGTTGCTTATACACCTGTTTAATAGATATAACACCTATGCTGTATATAATACCTGTGTTAGCTGTGGTTTGGGAAACTACGTATACCTAGATAGACTCTTCCTGATAAAGTGGAGCAATTACAGGTGTTTAGTAAAGGCATAGCAATTAGTTCATGTTGTTAGGAGCCTAGCATGCCTGCTGCTGTTAAACTCATGTACTGACATGTCTTTTTGAGTTGAAACAGGACCAGATTGGCCTTGGTTCATTTCCTGTTGCTCCATCTGTAGGTTTTCCATAAGGTTGTATATTCTATTCTCCATTCATTATGTTAACTTAAATTCTCCATTGCCTACAGATTGTTTCCCATGACATATAGTGTCAGTTCTAGAATGTGTTTGATAGGTCAAATAAAGATAATCAAGCTTTTTCAGCCAATTCTAACAGGTTGTCCCTTTTATTCTTTGCATAACTAGAGAACAGTCAAGTTGAAATGTTCTCAGATTGTTTTTTGGAAGTGCAAACTATGGATGGTTTTAGCTGCTTTCGTGTTGATACTTGCGACTGGACTATGTTTAATTCTTTATTCAGGTATGTGGTTTTCATGTAACATGATTTTTTCAGATATGAATATGTATTAGACAGTTTGGTGACAGGGTATCTGCTGTTCTCCATAGTCCTAACAATGCAGCTCAAATATATTGATTAAATCCCATCATTTTAAAAAGAATGTTCAGCCCTTCCGCTAGATTCACTTTTCTAGGTTTGTTAGTATGGCTTAGGAATTAATGAAATGAACAGTTATTGCCCAGGTGACAGGAATTTAGGCATGCAACAATTGCACAACTGGAAAGCCCATCTTCTTTCACTTTTACAAATAATGCCAAAAGTGCTACTTAAAACAGAAGCAAAACTGGAATGTCATGACATTCCTAGATGAATAAAGAAGCAATCAACAATTGGGGATGGGAAATGATGAATGCAAAATAAATGCCTCACACAGAGACTCTCAAGTTTGTTGGGTTTGGGGGTTTTCTTAACACACTGATTTCCCAGTCAGTATTTTTCCTAATAGGTTACATTTTAATGGTGGCAGAACATGCCTGCATGCTGAAGTAGCATTCTGTCTCTAGTATTCTGTCCCTGCCTTAGATCTCTCTCTCTCTCTCTCTCTCTTTCTCTTTCTCTTTCTCTTTTTCTCTCTGTCGCTGAGAAAGAGAGCTGAAGTACATTGAGTGCTGATGGGATATGCACTGTCTTCATGGTGGCATACCAAATTTAGAAATCTCTGCCCCAGATGTAAGCCCGTCTTCATTGCTTTTACAATACAAGGCTAAGGCCTACCTGTTTACCTGGAAATTGATGAGGGTTTAGTTGCCACTGTGATCTAGCTTGCTGCTGTTTGTTTTATTGATTTTATTACATATTTATTTGCAATCACTGTTGCTTTGCTGTTGTTCTTGTAACATTGTTATTACCACCTTGGGACTTTAATGAGGGGTAAGATATTAATAGTAGGAGATAAATAAATAAATAAATAAATAAATAAATAAATAAATAATCCAAAATATCCAGCTGCTAGAAAATGGATAAAACCTTGACTCTGTCCATAAGCCTGATGGTTCTGGATTGAATTTCCCTACCTTTCATTGGAAACATGGACATGATTCTGCACACTGATCTGCTCCACCACATCCAGTTAGGTTCTTAGGCCTGTGTGTGATTGTCTGTGTGCTGTATAAGAGAAGCAGCCCCTATCCGAGTAATCTAGCACAGGGGTGCTGTAGGCAAGCAGAAAATACATCTCCAGATGTTTTGGACTTTGGAATTCTCAGAGGCTTCTACCAGCATCATCACCAGTCACCACAAATGCTGAGAAGTGAAGTCCAAAACATTTGGAACTCTATTTCTGCCCATCTCATCTGTTTCGAATTTCAAATTGGGGAAAGCTGTATCTGCATAAGCCTCATTTTTGGGATCCAGAAACTGAAACTCCTTTGTTGCATGTTATGTTGAACTTCCACAAATGAGCAGTTGCATATAGTAAACATTGTCCCACACTGTGAGCATGTTCACCTAAAAGGTGTGAAGGTTGTTGTCTTGCAAAGGGGCATGGTTGCCATATTGATGTTGACAGATAAAAATAACTCCTGGTTACAGTTGCTATCTGAGCCTCAAGGAGCTAGGTCTGCTCCCAGATGGCAGATCTGTTCTTATGTAGCCTCTCGTAATTGAACCCTCCATGACCTGTTCTTCTCTGCAGTGGAGGGCAGAGTACGTTCCAATGGGGCAAAGCTCATGGAACCAGGTTTCAGGTTGAATGTCAGGAAGTACTTCCTGATGGTAAGGACCCCTAGGATATAGAATGGGCTTCCAGGGGAGGTGATTGAGGCCCCATCAGTGAGGGTGTTCAAGGAAACATGTTGGGGATTACATGAACAGAGCAGGAGGCAGACTGGATGGCCTGGGAGGCCCTTCTGACTTGTTTGTTTCTATGTATTCTGCAACAACCTGGAGTCAAAATGCCAATTGTGGGCCTGATGAAAACAACACAAAACAAAGCAGACTTGGGATTCATTCCAATAGGCTAGAGTGGCAATGTCATACAGTAGCTCAATGACATGAACAAAATGATTCTTACAGGCAGTGTTGGAGGTCTGGAAAGTCATTTAGTCTGTCCAGGATGCAAGGGATCCAGAGTCAAGCTCTCCACCAAATGGCTACCCAACAAGCTCACTTCCACTACCCACCAATTGTCCATTGTTCACCTGCTCTCACCATCAAGACATTTCTTCCCCCTAACAATCAGTTGAAAACCACCCTTGTTTAGCTTCAGCCTATTGGATGTAATCCTACCCTCTGGAGCAGCAGATAATAAGTCTTTGTTCTCTTCTTTCTGGCAGCCTTTTTGGTGTTTTCTGAATTCTGAGAGGTAGAACAAATAATAACGAACAATATATGACCTATAGGTTCTTATTTTTACTTCTTTTTATTCTAGTCATATACACAGATGAAGATGAATATTGGGATGCTGAAGCAATAGCTAATGGAAATCATCACAATTTCTCAGGAACATTAAAAGTCCATTGTGCTAATAATCCTGATCTGTCACTTTCAGCATCAGCATATAAACTGCTTTCTGAAAGTCTGAATTCAAGGGTAAGGTTGGCTACTTGTTAGAAAGGGTTGACTACATAAACTGCTTTCTTAATTCTTTGGTTAAACTTTTCAATCATGTTTACACAATATTCAAGTTTTACAGTGGAGCAGAAGGATGTGTGGTTGTGGCTGTATCCTTGACCCAACCAGTCTGGTGTTGCAATATAACGCTTCTTTTGTAACTGCTAATTCTCCATAAAAAAGCAAGAAATGCACTTTGAAATATGAAGAACTGGTTTAAATTGGAGGTGGAGAATCTTTGGCTCTCAAATGTCTTCCGCCAATATGGCCAATGGTCATTCAACAACATATGGAAGGACACATGTAAGATGAGGACACTGTGCCACACCATCTCAACACTCATCCCTGCTTTGTGCCATCAAGATTGAAATTTTAAGAAAGGGTGGGATCAAAATATCACAGGAAGCTGTCTTGAACTGAGTCAGAGCATTGGTCCATCTAGCCCAGTCCTGAAGACACAGTGACTGCCAGCCCTCTGCAGCTTTACCAGAAAAGGCCATGGAATGAACCTTCAGCATGCAATGCATGTGCTCTACCTTCTTAGCTGGTCAACTGCTATAATCATGCTTTGCAGTTTTATCCCACCCTTCCTCCAAAATGTGCAAGGAAGCATGCGTGGTTCCTATCCTTATTCTGATGATAACCCTGTGAGGTAGATTAGGTGAGATGGAAAGTGAATCTGGGTCTCCCCACTGCAGGTCCAACACTCCACCACATTGGTGCAATGCCAGAGGGTAGCACCTACCCTACTTAGGAAAAATATACTAAACTACTTTGCACATCAGAGGTATATCAGTATTGCATTTGCTCATAAATGCTTACCAACAAACAGTGCTATCCATGTATGTTATGCTGTCCAGCCGTCTTCAAAACATTTTACAAAGGGAAAGCACTGAAACCTGGGGCCAAAAGACACTTGTACACGTGATTCTTTTTAAAAATCGCAGCCTTCAGTCTGGATCAGGACCATGGCATGGGTTCTGGTTTTAATCTCTCTCCTCTGCCCCACAGTTCCGATTAAAATTGCTCTTCCTCAGAAAGATCATTATACCAGTTTGGATACCAAGTTACCATTCTGCCAGTTTCATCCCTTCCTTGCAAAACCCCATAGAAGGTTCCAGATCACTTAGGGAATTCTACTTGCATCCAAGTGAAGCAAGTCGGAGCCATATTCAGACTTCTTTATTCAATACGAAAAGGTTAAAGACTGAAGGGCTGTTGTGGTGTGCACCCATTCAGTTCCCACCCAAGCAGGATGAGTGCCTGAGGCTTCGGCGAATGGGGCGGCATAAAAATGTTTTAATAAATAATAAATAAATAAATACAATAATAAATAATAGGGCTACTATCCCAATAATGTAGCTAAAAGTTCCAAGATGTGAATACAGTGGGAAGGAACAGATTCTTTAATGAAAAACAGTTTAATTGTTAACAGAAGAAGGAGCGTATAGAGATGAAAGCAACAAAATAAACAGAGTTCTTTCTGCCTTCTAATACTTGACTCTGTTGTTAAAATATTCAGACAGGTCATATTTTACATCAAACTAGATCACACAGCACGGGGGAGTAGGACTGGGTTGGAAACCTCATCTTCCTCTCCCTGCCCAGTTGGAGGAAGATACAGTGTGGAATCCAGGGAAACACACTTTCTCACACCTTCCAACTAAGACCTTTGAAGTGTTGGTGGTGCATTTAAAGTGCTCTGCCTATGAAATGGATGGTAGGAAGGGGTGGGGCCTTTCAGTCCATTGTTTTAAAGTGTGCTTTTGCCTCTTAGAAAGGTACATGACATGGGATGTTGTGAAACAAAGGTTAAACTATGACAGCCACAGGTACTATTGCTTCCAAAGAGGAAAGGCAGGATGGGAAGAATAAGCCTAGTGAGATTCAAGTCTAGAAATGTACTAGACTATGGATGGCTCTACCATTAGGAAGAGTGAGGAGGTTACACCAGCCAGCAGAAGCCAGGTGTAGTTCAAGGGCAGTGCTCTTTGATTCCTCCCCTATGTCGGAGATCACAGAGTTGTGATCCAGGCAGCCTGTTCTCCACAGCTGCCCTTTGGCGTGTTGGAAGATGCTGTCCCATCACCACTGTCGGAGTTAGATATTTGGTGCAATCCTCAATAAATTAAAAGGAGTTCTGATTTCTATGAATCTGACACAGAACTGCAGTAGAATTGCTTTTTCTGAGTCATGCAGATTCCACAAACTTGTAGGCCATTTTTTCATGTATTGTGGAGGGATTTGTTCTACTTTAGTGCTAATGTGCTAATTAGCACATTAGTTAGTATGCATCAGATAATATGCCTTAGTTGTAATGTATAACTGCACAAATTCTTCTGTCCCCCACAATAAAGTTTAAAAAGGGTTTGCAGTAACACAAGAAGAATGACATTTTGTTTTTTTTAAAAACCATTTCATAAATGAGTGGATAAAAGAGCAGCCTAACAATCTGCAAAATACAGATGGCAGGGATTTTACAAAATCTGTATATCCATAGCTGAAATAAAATTTAACCTCTATTCTGATTGGTCTCTGTAGGTAGAATGAGAAGTGGGAGGTTATTTCCTTGTCTTTCCACAGGCTACTCAATATCTTGGACCAGCCCTGTTCTAAAATGTTGGCAATTTAATCTCTTGCATTCAAAGCTGTCTGTGACACTGTGCAACAAAAGTAATTACAGAATTCATGGGGCATCTCTTTCATACGGTGTAATATGTGTCAATACTAAATGTTTTCTCTCTCAAGCTTACAGATGTGTACACTTACTCACCAGCTCTTGGGAGATATTTTATCTCTGCTGACATTATTTCATTAAGGTAGGAAAGTAGAATAACTTTCTGTGCTTTAATTATCTAATTTAGAATAGCTTGAACCTGACTTGAATAAAAGCCCTTGAGAAGAGGAAATTTATTTTTGTGTTCATATAGAATGGGGCAAGGTAGGGAAGCTATAAGACTCGGTTAGGAAAAGTGAGTAGATAAACAGGGGCAGGGGAGGAACCAACAAAGGAAAGAAAGAAGGAGGGAGGGAGGGAAGGAGGAACAAATTATGGCTTTTCCTCCTTTGCAGTTCACTGAGCACTAATGTGCTGGTTCTTAGCATTTTTTGTTATGGATATTTCACAGAGTACCCAAATTGCTGCAATGTATCCCATATCCTAGCAGAAATGATACAGTTGAAAATTCTACCCAGGAAATCATGCTATTCTCCAGGATGCTATGAAACTGTGAGGAGCTCCAAAGGGGTATTTTATGCACATCAACTCAGTTTCCATTTTTCTCTTCAAAGGGAAAGTTAAGAGTTGATGGCTCCAGAGCATGCAAATTCCTCACTGGCTGTTCTTTTAGCCCCTTAGGTCTGCTGGCACCTCCTTGTTTCATCACATGAGCTTTAATTGGAGGGAGCCATTTGTAACAGGGAAAATGAAATACTTTCTTCAGAAAATATGTACATGATTATATTTTGTGGAAATTAGTAGCTGCAGATATTAGTAATGGACAATGTGGTGTTTTTGCCCTACTCACATTTAATTAGTCTGTTCAAAGATGCTCCTGGTGCTCTATCTTTGCTGTTGAAGCTTTTTCGAAAATTGATTTAGGATACAGTTCTATGGATGGTTTCCTTGCTCCTCAGAAGCCCTTGAACTGAGGGACTTCTGAGATGCCGATGCTATGTCAGGCTGAAGCTGGCAGAGGAGGAGAAAATCTGCAGGCAAGCCTGTTTCCCTGCCCTCTGGTATCCTATATGGACACTCAATGGGCTCTTCAGCCTTCCTTGCAAGGGCATTTTGAGAGGGAGAGAAAGGATGCGAAGCAGAAGGAGGCTCAAGACAAACAGTAGCCTGGCCTCTACAGTCTCTCCCCTCCCTGTGTCCTGGAACACCCCTTCTCCAGTCTTAGCCAGCTGTGAGGGGTCTGGGGTGGATCTCCTGCTCCCCCTTTCGAGGATCACACTGTCTTTCTCTCCATCCTTAAAAGGGGATTTTCTCAGCCATCTAATGGCTGCTGGGATATTTGCCTAGAGACCATAGCACTGTCCTTCTAGAGCTTTTGAAAGTTACTTGTACAAGACCTGTTGAGGGCGGATAGAAAAAATGTTGCCCAAACACACTTCCAGCAGTGGGCATTTCCTTGATGTTCAGTAAGGGGAGAGTGTGCAGGTGTTGCTTGCTTGTTTTTAATGCCGTCTACAGAAGCATGCTACATTTTCAGGTAGCTGAAATATAAATCTTTGTAGTTTGATGAAACCTGTAGGTAGAATATAATACAATGACTTAAATATGGTTGGAGCATGATTTGAGTGATTTATTTGAAATAGCCCTAAAATAACATTCCTGCCTTTTCAACCATGTTAGTCAAGAATTAACATTGCCACCTATTTGTTATGATAGGCTCCTCACCTTTATGTAATGTCTCTGTGAGGGGCAGATATATCATGGTCCTGTCCATGCTAGAAATATATGTTCCTGTTGAATTTGAATTTGGCATATGGGCGAGAATTTCAGTTCAATTCATTTTTGAAGACTATTTATGCAAATGCACAAAGTTTTTCATCTCTGGGAGAGAGAGAGAATTGAGATTTTAAAAATGTGAAAGCATGAAGCTGCAAAACAGACAGATTCACCCGACTCTCCATGCGTTTATCATATTCACTTAAAGAGAGAAACCATTTTGAGGTGTATACTGACAAATCTTCATTGGATCTAAACATGTAATATATAGGTAGGAAAAGAAATCTCTGGATAACCTTTTGGCTTTTCCCCCCATCTGCTTCATTCCATTTTTTCAGTGATAATGACAGTACAGTGTCCTACGAGTTATGCTTCTCAGTGCCACCTGAAACTGAAGAGTTCATGAAATACAGAATGAGTAAAGAGTTTTTGATTAACGTTTTAAGACAAAATATTTATGATCAGGATGACATGGATGGCCTGGATATACCTGGATGTACAAATATGACGCTTGATCCAACTTCTCTTTCACTAACATGTAAGTGCCCGGTGCAGGGAAGCACTGCACTCGTGTGTGTGTGTGTGTGTGTGTGTGTGTGTGTGTGTGTGTGAAAATAGAAGTTTTCCAGAAAGCCCAAAGAGCATTTTGTGGGGTATAATAAGGCTATCTGTTAATAGACAATGCCATCCTTACGTGCAGTTTCTGGGAATATTCTGATATATTAATATTTTATGATTTTCAGATGATAGCACAGTATTCTTCCTACTTTTATGAAATAGAACCATCACTCTACTTGTTTACAAGTTGCAAACTATTAACAGAAGAAACCTTGTTTTTAAGCCAGACATGACCAATAATTGGGTGGGAGGGTGTGTAGCAGTTGTACAAACTGGATATAGCTTCTCTAAAATAAATTAGGAAAAAAAGTAAATAATTACTTTTTCTCCTTTTCTTATTAGAACATGCTTTAGGGATATACAGGTTATTGATACAGAAGAGCAAATTGAAGTAGGCTGCTGGATCTCCAGAATGACCTTTGTGGAATGTTCAGATATTGAGTATATGAGGTTTTTTTTAAAGAGCTTAGTTCTGCAAATAATTTCCAGTATGATCTTCATTCTTCTACTGCAAGGAACAGCTGCAGGAAAATGCAGCCGCATCAACCAAAGGATAAATGCGAAGGAACTCAATCTAGCAACATTCCAAATATCCAACAACAACCAGTGCCACTTATTGCAACATATGAAAGTTATTAAAAGGACTTCAGAAAGGAAAGGACTTTATTTGAGGCTGTGAAAACAATACTGAAAGCCATTCTGTATACACTTTAATTCCCATTCAGTTTCTTGGCATGCCACTATGTTGTACAAAGAAATGAAAGTATACTTGTTGCAAAATAAAGTGACCATGCAGAAACACTTTGACTGTTGAGTGTCAATTGTCTTTTTCATGCCTCTTGCTCCACCTTCCTTTTATAGTGGCTGCTTATATCTGTTTTGAAATTTTGGAGTGTGATCTTTCTTCTCCCCTGCCATATCTTTCTGATGAAACACACTATGGGCAGGTGAACAAGTCACTTGTTAACCCATATCGACAGTAACACACAGTTGGTTGATTTGCAATCAATGACCTTCCCTCCCCACACCTCCCCCCCCCCACGTGCCTATGCCCACCTCCCCCACACACACTGCCTCCCCCCAGTGCTTCTGCACCCACCTTCCCCTCAGCACACCTGTCTCCCCGCCCCCACATGATCGCTGGTGGGGGGATGGCAATGGCTGCGATCTTTGTTGTTCTTTGTGCCTTTGCTTCAAGTTTTTGTGAGTAAAAAAATAGTTGCAGAATGGATTAACCTTATTTACATTGACCCTTATGGGGAAATTTGACTTGGCTCACGACCAATTTGGGTCGCAACCAGAGTCCTGGAAAGGATTAAGTTTGTGAGCCAAGGTACCACTGTATTTCCAGGGACAAGTGCAGTTGCTGCAGCAGCCTTAGCTCTACAAATGTGCAGGTTCACATTTCAAGGTTGAGTTTCAAGACTCAGTTTCAAGGTTGAGTCCAGCAGCATAACCAGATTGCCAGAGGACTCAACTTTAGCCAGGCTGAACTTCCTGTTCCTTGATTTTCCTTTTCGCCAGACATGAGTTCATACATATCCCATCTGGATTAAGCTTCAGTTTGCTTGCCCTCATCCAGTTCATCTTGGCATCTAACATGCAGTTTTAAAAGAATGCAAAGTGCGACAACTGAGTGATGGGTGAATTAATGGACTAAGAACATCCATAAAGGAGGATTTTGAACCTTTGCTCCCTTACTGCAATGCTGAGGAAAATCCCTCTTTTGAACTAGCACTTGCTTTGGCAAGAATCCCCAGTGGGGAATTTCCTCCCAATGCAGCCCCTTCAGAGGGGGGTTTTTCCTCAGGACTTCAACACAGAAAGAAGGGGTTAAATTCTCCTTCCTCCATGCACTGTAGGAAATTATTATTGGCCCATAATTATTAGTTCTGTCCCCACCTGATTGTTACTTGCATTTTCCAAACATTCTAATATCACTCAGAACTTGAGCAGGTTCCATCTCTTCCATTTAGATGAAATGTCGAGAGAGAGGGAGGGACAGAGAGAGAGAGAGAGAGAGAGAGAGAGAATTGGGTGTCATTAGCATATCAGTGGCATGAAATCCCTGAAGCCCAGACAACCTCTACCAGCAGTTTCAGGAAGATATTGTGAGGATGAAATGGATCGTTGAGAAACACTATATAGCATAGGTGAAGGCACTGAACAAGCCAACAGCACTACCTTCTCAAATGGCCTGTTCAAGACAATATCCACCTTAAAATGAAGATATCCATAGTTATTAAGCCATGGTGAAAATCAGAAGCCTGGAGATCAGGCAGGCACTTCATTGCTGTTCATCTTCACACTTCATCACACTTCACACTTCATCACTGTGACAGCCCATGTGGCATAGTGGTTAGACTGTTGGACTTGGGGTCTGGAAGCTCCAGGTACTAGTCCTCACTCAGCCATGGAATTCACTGGATGAATTTGGGCCGGACACAAACCTTTGGCCTAACCTACCTCACAGGGTTCTTGCTGTCAAGACAATATTAATCAGGGGAGGAAGATTATGTAAGTCACCTTGACTTCCTTGAAAAGAAAAAAATGAGATATAAATTTATTTATTATCTATTTATTAAAAGCTTTTCTATCCCAACCCCTACAAATGTCTCCTATCAAATACATTTGATAGATATGTATTCCATTCTTGCATATAAATAATTACTGGATAGTTCACAGAATGAGATGCCAAGCCATTGCTATCAGCTGTTAATCCTTACAACTGATATTTAGAGGAAGAAAATACAATGTTTGCTTTCTTTAAATTTTATTACATATGTAAGCAGACTTTTAGCATGGGCAGATGCTAATTTTGATCCTGCTACTTCCTCAGAAAGCTGGTATGTGGCTAAATCGAAGCATGCCCAAGAAGTATTCAGTGCAAATTTTCACAATTATGAGAGTTCTGCTATTGAATGAAGATTACATTAACCATTACCAATGCAACCCAGTGAGTCCCAGTGAGTGCAACAGGAATTGCTTTCAGGTACGTGTTTGTGTAGGGTTTCATCCTGAGTCAATCACTCAGAGAGGCTTTTTAGTTGTAAACGGACTCAAATAGATACATCCATTTGTGGCTGCTCATGCACCATGTGAAGAGGGATACACTTGTTGGCCCCACTCTTTCTATCATATTTTCAACCGTCTACTCCTGCAACCCTCAAGGCTGTTATATTTGTGTAAGGTCACCATGCAATTTGTTCTTGCTGTTACATTGTCTTTATCGCCCCCCCCCCCCCACCCTTTTCCTCTTTGTCACCACCAACTCAAGAACCTTAGCCAGAAAGGAAACATTTGCCACCAGGCTGAAGTTGTTAGGATCTTTTGGGTCAAGGGAGGGTTTCTTGAGAAGTGGTCCTACCACTGCCTCCTTGGGGAAGTCTGGAGTCATGCACTTGCACAAGGAGGACTTGATCACCTTCCTGGCCCAGCCAGCTGTTCCCTCGCTGATGGTTTTTATTAGCTGAGAAGGACAATGATCCAGAAGAGATGGTTGCACAAACCAGTCCAAGCACCATGCCAACACGTTCTAGTTTATCACGGAGAGGAAGAGAGCTTGGGAGAATGCTCAGTTCTGCTCTCAGACTAACAACAAATTCCTATACTTAGAACCTGCTAAGACACTCTGTTCTTTCATGCTCAGTGCATGTCTTTCCCACTTGGATCTGCTTGGTGGTTCTTCAGGTTCCAGTAAAAACAAAAACAACATAAAAATAACCAAATAGATCTTACACACAGAGTCTGCCCTGCTGCTTCTCATTTTGCTGACTCATCTCCCTTAAATAGAGAAGTGTCTGTAAAACGGGGAGTGACATGGAAACATCTACAACTGATCTGGCCTGGGAACAGAATTTCTACAGCTGAGAAAAATTGGTTTCTGAAATGAGTGTAGCTCTCAGCTGAAAGCTGACTGTCCTTAGTTCAGAATGCAGGATAAATCCATTGAAAGTTTGTTTTGTATTTTTTGGCTTTAAGTTGTGTCCAACCCTTTGTGACCCCATGGACAGCATTCCTCCAGGTTCTCCTGTCCTCACCATCTCCCAAAGTACACCAAAGCCTACACCCATCACCCCAATGACCCCATCTAGCCACCTCAACCTCTGCCCTCCCCTTCTCCTTTAGCCTTCAATCGTTCCCAGCATCAGGGTCTTCTCTAAGAGAGTCCTTCCTTCTCATTAGGTGGCCATAGTATTTGAGTTTCATCTTTAGTATCTGACTTTCTAAAGAACAGTCAGGTTTGATTTCCTTTAGTATTGACTGATTTGATTTCTTTGCAGTCCAAGGGACTCTCAGGAGTCTTCACCAGCACCACAATTCAAAGGCCTCAGTTCTTTGGCCCTCAGCCTTCCTTATGGTCCATCTCTCACAGCCTTATATTACAATTGGAAAAACCATAGCTTTGACTATACAAACTTTTGTCAGCAGGGTGATGTCTCTGCTTTTTAGTATGCTGTCTAGATTTGCCATAGCTTTCCTCCCAAGGAGCAAGTGTCTTTTAATTTCTTGTCTGCAATCCCCATCTGCGGTGATCTTGGAGCCCAGGAAAATAAAATCTGTCACTACTTCCATTTCTTCCCTATCTATTTGCCAGGAAGTGAGAGGACCGGATGCCATGATCTTAGTTTTCTTAATGTTGAGTTTCAAGCCAACTTTTGTGCTCTCCCCCTTCACCTGCATCAAGAGGCTCTTTAGTTCCCCTTCAATTTCTGCCATTAGAGTGGTATCATCTGGGTATCTGAGGTTGTTATTTCTTCCAGAAAACTTGTGCTTTATCTAGCCTGACCTTTCACACAATGTACTCAGCATTTAAGTTAAATAGGAAGGGGGACAATATTCAGCTTGTGGTACTCCTTTCCCAGTTTTGAACCAATCAGTAGTTTCATGTTCAGTACTTACTGTTGCTTCTTGACCCACACAGAGGTTTCTCAAGAAACAAATGATCTGGTACTCCCATCTCTTTAAGAACTTGCCACAATTTGTTGTGATCCATGCAATCAAAGGCTTTAGCATAGTCAAAGAAGCAGAAGTGGATGTTTTTCTGGAACTCCCTAGCTTTCTCCATGATCCAGCCTATGTTAGCAATTTGATCTCTAGTTCCTCTGCCTCTTTGAAACCATGCCTATATTTTTGGTAGTTCTTGATCCACATGCTGACCATTATTGTAAGCTCTCCTGAGATGCTCTTCTGTATTTGACGGGGTAAAAATGTTTTAAAAAATAAACAAACAAATACATAAATAAATACTGCCGAAGCCTAGCTTTTAGGATTTTGAGCATAACTTTGCTAGAGTGTGAAATAAATGCAATTGAACTACCATTGAAAGGTAGTTGCAAGTAAAATCCCACACTTCCATTGGTAGAGTTTAGTCACCAAAACTGTTGTTGGGATGGTGCTCATTAGAACACACAGATCTTAGCTGAGTGTGCTGAGTGCCATTTTCTTTCAGTGGTATACATTGACAACTCTTTCAATAGTTCCCTCTTTTTAGCTGGAACATTGTGGTGTTTCTCTTTCATATTGAGGCCACAGAGGAATCATGAGTCAACTGAATGAAAAATCCCAAGTCATCCTTACAAAAACCTCAGGCTGCTATTTTGCACCCATGATTTAGTGGCTGTGAATGCTAAACAGTGAAAAAAACCTGCCTGAAGGAAGAAAATTGATACACTTGAAATACAGTGTTGAAGGAGAGTTATGCTAATATTCAGGACTAAGTGAAAGATGAAAAAGTTGGTCCTAGATAAATTCAAGCCAGATCTTGCCCTGGAATAAAAAAATTACAAAACTGAGATTGTTGCATTTGGAGCGCAAAATGAGAAGACATGATTTACTGAAGAAGACAATCATGCTAGGGAAAGTCAAAGGTGGGAGGAGGAGGAGAAGATCAAATTTGTTGTTGTTATTGTTAGTCGTGAAGTCATGTCCAATCCATTGCAATCCCTTGGACAACATTCCTCTGGCCTTCCTGTCCTCCACCATCCCCCAGAGTCCACTTAAGCTCACACCAACTGCTTCAGTGACTCCATCCAGCCACCTCATCCTCTGCCGTCCCCCTCTTCTTTTGCCATCTATTGTTCCCAGCATTAGGCTCTTCTCCAGGGAGTCCTTCCTTCTCATTAGTTGGCCAAAGTATTTGAGTTTCATCTTCAGTATCTGGCCTTCTAAAGAGCAGTCAGGGTTGATCTCCTCTAGGACTGACTGGTTTGATCTCCTTGCAGTCCAAGGGACTCACAGGAGTCTTCTCCAGCACCACAATTCAAAGGCTTCAAATATGATCAAATATGGGTTGGATATAAGCCAGCATAAGTTGGAGATGATTTGGCAGCGAGTAAGAACAAAAATAGGCTGCAAACTGGTGCATAACATTTCAGAATATTACATCTTTCTTGAAAGAAGTGCACTGGTTGCCAATAGTGTTCCAGCTGCATATCAAAGTGTTGTTTTTAACCTTTAAGAGCTTAAATGGCTCAGGCATGACTACCTAATAGATCACCTGTCTTATTATGCACCTGTCTCACTAAGATCTGCAAGTGATGCCCCTTTGAAGATAATATTATTCGGAGAGGCCAGTTTGCCAGCAACATGTGAATAGGCTTTCTCCTCCTACCCCCAGATCATCGAATGTGATTCCTCTGGAACTATGATTGATTCCCAATTTCTAGGCCTTTAGAAAAGGTGCAGATGTGCCTCTTTCCAGATGTTTCTACCATTGGAATGTTTTAGATTGTTTGAAGGGTTTATTGAATGGCTGTATGCTGCCTTGGGGCTCAATTCTGTGGTCTCCCAATATTGTCTGTGAGATCGTAGGATTTTTCAGATTCCAAGCATTGAAGTTATCCAACCTGGCAGCTAAGGCAGTATATAAATGTTAACACTGAAATGAAATGAACATGTGAAGTATAAAAAACTGTAAGCATGAGAGAGAGAACACATATTGGTATCATGGACCCTGAGGAGGCCCAATTCTGATTAGTTTCATGGATTTAAAAAAATCTTCAAGCCATTCACTTCATAACTTTTCTGCAACTGACATTTTCCCCAAGTCTAAAAACTCCTTTCTCTAGCCAACAGAGTGACCATGCTTTTGCATTTCATAAGACAGTCCTCTATTTGAAGGTCTGCCAGATGACAACCCTCTGTTTGATGGTATCCTCTGTTGGATGGGCTCTTTGATAAGGCTGGAGCATAATATTGGGCAATATTACACCTGTCTGGAAGTAAGTGTGTTGGTTGCCAATAACATGAGGGGGCAATCCAGTGCCCACTGTGTTGGCCTTATGCACATCCAGTGCGTGGAGGGAGGTGCAGCAGCGACAGTCCCCACCATGTATTTAGTGCTGGGGAGCAGATGGGGGGTGGGGGAGGCTGGGGCACCAACAGACAGGAATTGGAATGAGCTGTGGGCCCAAGTTCCTCCTCTCTGCTGCCATTTCCTTGCCCCAGCATGCTCCTTTTGCCCATCTCCAAGGCCTAGTTCCCCGAAAAGTGTTAAAATCAAAACTAAAATCACTTTTGAAATTCTATTTTTAAAAACAGCACAATACAGCACAATTACAGTAATAATAAAACAGAGCAGTACAGGAAGCATAACACTAAAGTAATTTAATTACAAGCTAGCAAAGCTCAACTGAACTGGTGCACTTTCAAGAAGTATTGGCCTCAAAGAGAATTTTTCTTCTTTGAAATGATGTCAAATGTACCTTTCTTATTTACTTTCTTTCCCAGCTGTTCAGTGCCAGTAACACTAATTTCTAACTTCCTCTTTCTTCTCTCCTTCTATAAATATTGTGCGTGTGTGTGTGCACGCGCATGCACACATGCTTCTTTCCTCCCTTTGATATGAAATACCTCAGGCATTTCAAAAAGAAACCCCATCAGGAGGAGTATCATCATTTGTTCACACAGTCCACACAATTAAACATTATAGTAAAATACATGCCGGAAAATCCTCTTTTACATCAGAGGTGGTGAGCAAAAGGAGGCAGCTGAAAAAAAAAAAAGTTTCCTTTTCTTTAAAGGGATATACGAGGTCAGGCTGGATGTGGGCATTCAATCCATAGCTTTCTAGTAAAATCAGAAAAACCCGGCTGATGAGACTGAGACTCTTTACAGGGTCATGGGATAGAAACATCCCTGAGTCTCATGGGCTAACATGATTCATGGTTTCTAACTCAACATTTTTCCTATGTGAGAAAGAGCTCAAGCGAAATTTCCTTAATAACATAAGAAGAACACACCACATGGTTCTGTTTCTTTTTCATTTGGGAAGCAATGTGAAGTCCTTTTTCTTATTGCTCATCTATGACATAATCTATATAAATGGTTAAAAACTATATAAAAAATTTTAGAAGAAGATTAAGGAACTACATTTAAGGAAGCCCTAAGAATAAGAAAGCAAATAACTTAGTGATTAATTATTCTTCCCAGAAGAAGAAAAACTGGAATCCTTTATCTTCCAGTAAATGCTAGTTAGGGATTTGTGAAGGAAATATTTATTTACTCAATATTTTAATATGTTTTAATATTGAATTTTATTATTGTACTTTATAATCTTGCAGCCAGAGTGGGTCGTCAATTTATTTATGCTGTAAGCCTTCCAGAGACATAAATAATTGGACGGCATACACATTTTATAAATAAATAAATAGTTTGCTTTTCCTTTTTATAGCACTTTTATAGTAGGAAAGGTCTGCAGCTTGACAGATGTTAAGCACTTCTACTGACAGCATATTCCATGTGTGTAACATAACCTACGTTTAAGGTGCCCAAAAAAGAGGGCACCAATTTGCATAAACTTGCATAAGTAATATTCTATATAACTGCACATTTAGAGATAATAACTGTAATTAAAATAGAAATTCATCACACTACAGCTCAGATGATTGACCATGAATCATTTGTCCAGGTGCTCGCTGAGGACTGGCAACTTCAAGGCCTCTGTTGTTCTCACTCATAGCTTTCTATTTTTTACTATAAAGCAGACTTGGGCTGAAGAGCGCATCAAATAGAGGACACCTTCAAACAGAGGATTACCCTTCACCAGTGATCATCATTCTCCATGGTTATATTTTCTTCCTACTACTTTATCCAACTTTTGTGCCCTTCCACTTATCTTAAACTTATTATGACCATTCCTATTATAACAGTCTTAATCAATTATGAAAATGACTTAAATAAACAGCCTGTAAAATAAGGTGGCCTGATATCTTATTCCATGGAAAACAGCCCTCTGTTTGAACATGTCCTACATGTTAAAGTCCATCTGGTACATGTCCATGTAGAAAGCTTTGAAGTTGCCCGTTAACAGTTCATGCCTAGACAATTGTGCAGGCACACAGCTCATCTGGTCACAGTCTTCCCACTATGGGAAGCTTTATTGCATGGGTCCTCAAACTACAGCCCTTGGGCCAGATCCGGCCCATGATGCCCATTTACCCGGCCCATCTCAAAGGTTTTGGACTCATCACGTGCTTGCATGCGCAGGCGCGCAGTGAGGTGGCGGCTTGCTCATGGGGAGATGGTTTTGGACTCACTTGGAGAAAATTATCTGCGTGAGCAAGCTTTTGCCTCGCCCCGCAGGCCCCCTGCCTCGCCAGGTGTGCCCCCTGCTCCTGCCTCGCTGTGCATGCGCATGGCCCGCCCCTGCCCCCTCTCTGGCCCGAGCCCCTCCTGGCACCACCTTGGCGGCCTGTGCTCACTGCTGGTACCTTTCAAAAGGTACCTGTTGAAAAAGTTCGAGGACCCCTGCTTTATTGCATTTGTTTGAATTACATTAAATCTTTCTAGATTTCCACCTATAGAGACAAATGGGGCGGCATAAAAATGTTTTAATAAATAAATAAATAAATAAATAAATAAATAAATAAATAAATGTTTTACAAACTGATGCCCTCATTTACCTCTAAATGCCTTCTTGAAAACCATTAAGACCCAAAGGAAGAAGGCAGTCCTTTGTAGTCTACCACCAATGTAAAATTCCCCTGGAAGTCCTTGTATGTGTTTTCACTTCCCTAAAACAAAACTGCTACAATATAACAGCAATATGTGAAGAGCTCAGTTCAAAGTTACCGGTGAGTTATTTCACAGAGGGCAAATGTTCGCTGCATCTCTTTTCTTCGGTGTCCTCTGGACTACAATGATACGTAAGTACTGTAACAGTTGTCTTAAAGTATTAGATTTAATGCATGTTAGTTTTATGGACACTGCAAATGTAGCATGAAATTCTGTTGGGTTTGTGTGATTATTTTGTGATATAGGCTCATCTCAACAGAAAACATCAGTCAATAGGGGTATATTTGGAGATGTAAATACCTAGGGGAAAATCAGAAAAATGAAAAAACACATTTAAAATACATACCCTTTTTGTTTCTGGGAAAAATGAAAACAATGCTGTGGCATCAAGAATTTTCCACCAGCTCCCCATTTCCCCTATTTTTCCCCCTACCAGGTCTTCATATGTCAACAGCAGATAGGGTGATGGGAAAGATGTTGGTAGTGTGTAATCAAACTATGGTATGCTTTTGTTGGCTGGCTAGATTTACCACCTGGTAAAATGCTTACCTTGTTCACACATAACGTTATGTTCACACATAACGCCAATCCATAAGTTTTTGAATAATGGGTTGTTATGATGTGTAAAAATGGATGTGCAAACCAACCAAATTTTAATCAGATACGACCTAGAAACAGAGCCCATGGTTTGTTTTTGAATTCTGAACTCTGAATGGTTTGAATCATATCTTGCTGGAATCATATTTGTGAGCTCCAAACTATGAGTTGTGTGTGTGTTGTCAGGCTACAGAGAGGGTGAGCAACACTAGTAAACAAACAGCTGTGCTGCATGCAAATACTACAGTGCTGATAAGGCATTTGGGATACAGATATTTGGAGAGTGGGTGAAAGGGAAGAAAACAAGGAACCCAGGACTGAGAAAACAAACTTCAGTTTCTTTGATGGTCTGGCAAACAGATTGGATAGGGCAACAAAGCCTGCATTAAGAATAGATTAAATAAACTATGGGTTATATGTGGACGAGGTGACTGTGTCATCTTTCACATGCAGTTCAGTGGATTGAAATGAGATGTTAGAAGAATGAGAAAGCATGATTTAACTTGTGCCATGCCTCATCAGGATCCAGCCCTGGCACTTACTCTGAATGTAAGAGACAAGCCTGGAATGTACCCTTGAATAAGTTCACCTTTGGGCAACTGCCCAGAGTTCCTATACATCAATGTTTTGGGAGAAATGTTTCCAAGATAGAGAACATGATTTCAACTCAGGCATTAATTCCACTGTCTCTTTGCAGATGCAGCACAGGTAATTCACAAGTCAGTTCAAACAGTCACTGTTGGAGAAAATGTGACTCTGAACTGTCGACTAGCCAAAGACTACAACATTGTTCAGGTCACCTGGCAGAAGGAGAATGAAAAAAGCGAGCCGAATGTGGCTACGTACAGCAACACTCATGGTTCTAGAGTGCTGGGCAAATATCAACATCATGTGCATCTTTCTCAAAGTGGGCTGGCTGTTTCTGCCATCACCTTTCATGCGGTCACACTCAAGGATGAAGGCTGCTACAGCTGCATCTTTAATACATTTCCCTTAGGCTCCATTCCAGGCAAGACGTGTCTCAAGGTCAATGGTAAGTTCTATGTTCTCAGCGGTAGTCTGTAATCATCATTGTGGCAGCCATACCAGCAGCCCTCTTGACAAGTCACAGCCCATGCAGAATGGCGACCCTGGAAAGGGCAGGCAATGAGGGCATCAGAGAAGTAGAAACAAACTCTATTTTATAGGGAAAGAAAAGCACTAACAATGTGCTTCACAACTGAGTAGTGTACATGGTCAGTGAAAGGTGCTCTCCATAAAGCCATTAGGCCTAGGGTCTAAAATTACTCAGATGCACCACTGAGTGTGTTGGGGTGACAGATACATATACTCCAGTCAAATGCTTCTCTGTCTCAAGTAATCAGGCAGATTCTGTGGCTTCAGTAAAGAGATATTATTTATGAATATTGTAGAAACATCTGAAGTAGTTTCAAAGGATGTTTGATTATGTGTTTCTTGGATAATCACAAGAACAAGCACTAGTCTTCAGTTCCATGGCCCAAAGATCTAAGTGAAAAGAATCTGAGACATTGCTATCTTCTAGCATTCAGCTGATTTGCTCTGGTTTTGCAATGGAACAAGCTTCGCTCATTTATAGAACATAAAATTATGAAACGTGAAATTGTGTTTCCATAAAAGATAGACACATTTGCCTGTGAAGTCTGACCATTTCAGTGGATTACTTCTTTTGAATCCAAATCTTTTTGTTATTGTTTCATTCCAAGTTTGGCTTTAAAAACTTTGAACAGTAAAATACCCATTTTAGTCTTTGGGTGTCAAGAAAGTAAAGAAAGAACTCCCCAGTCATTCTAATTGATAAATATGATGTCACTTTTCAGCAAACAGTATCTGCAATGTTTAAATTCCCATCAGATTACCCATCATCTATTGCTAGGGTATTTGAAGGTCGCTGCCCAGTCCCAAACAACCCATGCCATCTAGAGTAATTGGGGAATTGGCCAACAAATGCATCAAAGGAAATAAGCTGTGATCATTCAAACAGACCTTTTACGTCTTATATAACAAAGCAGAGTCTAGTAAGGATGTTTATTTAACTCTGTAAAATTAATACCTTTTTAAAAAATTAACAGCTAATAAGGTAAATTATGAATTTTAGGAACTATCATAATGGATCACAAGAACAAGAGGAAATTAAATTATTTACTAACTCACAATATAACTAAGAGGAATCTCATTTTAATCTTTGCCTCTCTTTTCTGAGAGACAACACTGTAGTTTCCATGCGAACACATCAGGAATCTCTAGGAAATTCCAGCTGAAATCACAGAAACCAAACATGGGAAGGTGGGCAGAAGACAGGTGAAATGAAAAGAGCATGTTATCATTCTTAGTATCACAGCCAATTCATTTTACTGCAAAAAATCCAGCTAGCATGCAGAATGGAAAAAGAATAGACAGCTTCGGGAACATGTGATCTTCCAGATGTTGTTGGACTGTAACTCCTAACATCCTTAACCACTGGTTATGCTAAGAGAAGAAAAGGGAGGGCACAGCAATATATATACAACAATATACGAGGGTCTACAGCTACCCGCCCCCCTCAGATCAGCTCAGGAAGCCCTTCTGCGGGACCCCATCCTTCAGATGAGAGGGGTGGCAATCAGGTGAAGGGCCTTTTCCACTGCTGCTCCCCATCTTTGGAACTCCCTCCCTAGGGAAATTCGCCTGGCACCATCTTTCCTTTCTTTGCCTTTTCTAACTTTTTAAGAAAAAAAAAGTAATGCTTAGCCCCTGATATACTCTTACTATAGATGTTTTAATTTTTTAGTGTTTTAATAGGGTATTAATGTGCTTTATTATGTTTTAATAAGTTTAATGTATTGTAAGCCACCTAGGAAGGCCTCAGCAGTTAAAGGTGGCCTATAAAAGCATGCATAAACCAACAAACAAGGAGGAAGAAAAGAATATGCAAACTTCTCAATAAAAAGTGGCTGTGTCACAGGATGGTACAACTGCACATTCATGGGTAATTTGTAACTTTAAAGTTTCACCAGTTGCCATTCTTTGCTATGCTAAGGAGGTGGTCACACAACTGCCTGAATCTGACACTTGTAGGATAATCGTTAGATTCTGCCCTAAAGACACAATAAGCATGCAGGAGATGCTGCATGGAAGCCAGCTGAGGACAAAGGAGACTGGTGGAGCACAGCAGAGGAATATGTGGCGGGTGTGCAGATGGCTAACACAAATGACACAGCATAGGATTAGTACAGAAATCGCTTCTTGGGCGTAGCTCTGGGCACGGTTGATTCTCCAAGGAATTCCATTCCTTCTCTCCACCCCTTCAAAAGATTGGGGCAAAACTTCATGCCTAGACTAAACAGCTGGATGACAGCATCATTGATTAAAATAAGCAACGGATATTGCCATTCTGTGGTGGACAAGGACATGGTACTTTGACCAGAAAGTCCTCCATGTAAATCTCTGATCCCTTGTAAAACTTGCAGGGCAACCTCAAGCAAAAAGGTCACCACCTCTCTACTTACCTTCCAGGGTTGTTGTCAGGAGAAAATGGGATAATCTGATGTTCATTGCAATTGCGTTCTTTGGAGGAAGAGCTAGAGACAATGCATAAACTGTTGTTTTGAATGGCACTCTTCCCTTATTTATTAGCTTGAGATGTGGTCTATTTTAGTTCATACCTGTATGAAGTGTTTGGGAGCTCAAGTAAATAGGGACCAAACTAAAAGGAACCAAAAGATCATTCATTCCCAAAGTTAAGTCCAGTTCTTTGCACTCCTTTGTAACGATGCATTCAACGATGCCCTACTTCCCTCATTCATAATACTAGACTTAGTGTTGTGCTGAATTTTTCAAACTATTTATTTTCAACCATTGATTGTGAGGAGCAAAATGAAATTGCAAGCAAAAATGGGTGAAGTGAGAATTTTGGAGAAATTTCTCAATGCGTTGGGCTTCAGTGCTTAGCTTATTTTAAGGAGCAGGAACTCTTTATTTTGCCATTTCCACTCTTGGGGTCTCTGGGGATTCTGAAAAGCCATCAGCAGAGTGGGGGAGGCCACATGCTTCTTCAGATTCTGAGCTCTGATTCCCTTCCAGTCATGTCACAGCCAGCATGGTGAGAATTGTGCTGACTTTCAGGGCAGGAGAACTGGGAGGTGGACATTGCTTCCACCACTTCCCCAATTCAGAGGTTTATAGGCATCCCAGGCTACAGATGGGATGCTTATAGGTGACCCAGCTGAACTTTCTGGTGCTTTCCAGTGCTGCTGCCAGCTGTGTCTGAAAACTTAATACCTTCCTCCTTCTCCTGCTCTTCTGACTCCTCCTCCTCCTCCTCCTCCACCACCACCACCATCACCACCACCACCTCTTCTTCCGCTTCTTTTTCCGCTTCTTCTTCCGCTTCTTCTTTTTATTTAATTTTATATCCTGCCTTTTCCTACAAAGGGCTCAAGGCAGCTTACATCATTCTCCTCCTCCATTTTATCCCCACAACAACAACCCTGTGAGGTAGGTTGGGCTGAGAGTCTGTGACTGGCCCAAAGTCACCCAGTTGGCTCCATGGTCGAGTGGGGAATAGAACCCAGGTCGTCTGAGTCCCAGTCCCATGCTCTTAACCACTACACCACACTGGCTGCTGCTGCTGCTGCTGCTGCTGCTGCTGCTGCTGCTTCTCCTCCTCCTCCTCCTCCTCCTCCTCCTCCTCCTCCTCCTCCGGAGCTTAAAGAACAACAAAAAAAAAGCAAGCCCAAAATGCCTGGCTCAGTATTAGCAGCAGTGCTGGAAAGCCCCAAGGGAAGACATCTGGTTGAGTCCTCTAAGGGGCTTTTTGCAGATTCAAGCAGCTGGGGGGCCTTAAAGGACTGAAATGGGTAAAAATAGCAAAATGAAGAGTACACATGCCACCCACACTACCTCTCAGTTACCGCCTTATAGTAAGGCAAGCAGTGAACCCTTAGAAATGTCTCCAAACTTCTCTACACCCATGCCAAAGAGGCAGAAAAACAATGGCCTCTTTTGCAAGGAAACAAAGAAAATTCATGGAGGCACAAGTAATCATGAAGGCTATTTATTATCTGTGGTATCAGAAGCAATATGCCTCTAAATGCCAGTTGCTAAGAAATATGAAGGAGGGAGTGCTAGAAGGTGCTCACGTCCTCATGGGGGCTTCCGATAGGCTTGCGGTTGCTCACTCTGGGAACAGAAAGCTGGAGCATATGGGCCATTGATCCGATCCAGCATAGCAATTCTTATGTTCATGTTACTGCCATGTGCAGATGGAGATAGCAGACAGTGCAGGCTGGTAATGCTCAATGCCATCCAGCGCACCCCGCCCTTTCCTTTAACTTTTCCACATTCTGTTGTGCTACACCTTGGAAGGGAAATGGATTTCAATGGCATTGTTACCACTCGTACACAAGATACTCAACACTGTAATGTGCAAAACATTTTTATTCTGCCAAAGCTTAAGCAGGAATGGGGACCTTTGGTCAGCAGAAGCTTTCAAGTCTTGTCACATATGTCTGACCTTTGAATTGACCATTCACAGAAATTCAGATTCTTGTTTTTAAACCACTCCTGTGTTACCTGGCTTGTCTTTTAGGATTTTTTTCTGAAAGGTGAAATTCTTTCCCAGTCTCAGGTCCTTGAACACTCTCTTCAGGGTTACTTTTGGCCTCTTGGTTGCTTCTCTGACTAGGGCCCTCCTTCCCTGGTCACTGAATTTCGTGAACAGCTTTCTTGAGCATAGGCCGTATTCTTTTCATTTTGTAATAATGGCTTCAACAGTGCTCCAGGGGATGTTCTTAATTTGGGATTTTTGAAATAATCCAGTGCTGATTGGTGCTTCTACACAACTTTGTCCTGGAGTTGTATTGATATCGCTTCATGATGTTTGTTTAGATATGTTCTCCCTCAAACCTTGGGGCCTTCCAGAAACAGGTGCATTTTATCTGAGACCATGTAAGAATGGAACACAGAAGGACTGTATTTAGCTACTTGCACTGACTTCTGGAGGCAGTGGGTTGTACCAGAGCTCATTTGGGCATACCCCAGAAGATGGGATGATTATATATGCAACACACAAAGGCCACTTTGATTTGCAAGTAATTAGTGTCACAATAAAATGTGGAAATGTCAAGGGGGGTGGTGAATACTTTTGGAAGTCAGTGCATATGGTCTGCTCCTTCATCAGTAGAAAGCAACAGAAATGTGCTTTCTCTCAGTGGCATGACTGCAAATAATACCAACAATTTCCTTTGTTTTAAAGTTCTAACAGGACCTGAAATACATGTAGAACGTGTTGCTGATCCAGACAATGAAGGTGAAGAACTGCTAAAAATAAGCTGCTCAGCAACTGGAAGACCAGCTCCAGTGGTCACATGGAAGATGGCTGAACATCCTCTAAATGAGACAAACCAGTATTTTACCCCACACGCAAATGGAACAGTAACAATTGTCAGCAATTTCACTTATGCATCCCACAAAGATGCCTGGGACAACAAAATATTCTGTGTTGTTCATCATCCCTCTCTAACAACTGCACAAAAGTTGGCTTTATCCATATATGAGATGGAGCAAGGTGAGTTTGTACTTGGATGGTTCAGTCATTTCTCTTTCTTACCACATGCAAATTTAAACGTTTTTATTTTGAACTGATCATTACATTTTTAAACTCCAGTTGCCAAGTGACTTACCTCAGATGGTCGCACCATCTCTTGCCCTTTGCTGTGCAGCCATCTGTGTAAGCCGTCCTGAGGCTTGGGCAAAGGATGGTTTAGAAATGTCTTAAATCCATCCATCCATCCGTCTTCAGTGTGCTAGTTCTCACCTCATGGCATTTCATGCTTTGCATTGCAGCGAGGTGGTGAGAGCCCCAGAGTGGATAGTGCTCATGTGGATCAGATTTAAAGTGTGTAGTTCATTTTACTTGGCATTCCCAACGTTATTTAGCATCTCATCAAATAATTCCTCTTCCCGCAACCTGCTGCCCTGCATACGTTTTGGACCTGGACTCCCCTCAGCCAGCATGGCCAATTCTCAGGTCCACTGGGAGTTCTAGTCTTCTACCCCCAAACATCTGGAGGATACTAGTCGGAGGAAGTCTGGAATAGGCCCTGTGAACAGCACTCTCGGGTACATGCCTATCTGATTTGCAGGTTATGTATGTTGAATGCATGACCGATTGCACAACCGTCCTGCCACATACTGTAGGTCTCAGGAGGCAGTAGCATGTCTGCTTGTCCATCACCAAAGAAGAGAACAAGTATTAAAAAGTATTATTTTCAGATGCCCATTTATAGAGATAGATGAAAATTTAGAAATAATGATTATAATTTAAATAGAAATATATTATATCCCACTATCATGTGGAAGACTGTGAGCATGTGAGCCTGTTATGCACTGGTACATAACTGATGCCCATACTATACACATATTTGAACCAGTCCAGATATCCCCCAAGATGTTTTCTGAGCCCTAAACTTTTAAACATCTATTGTTTTCCCATTGCTCTTTCTGACATTACTTCAGCAGGCAGTGTTATTTTATCTTTGCAGTCCCAAACAAGGATTCGGGAACTGTCGTCAAAACTGTTAGCTTGGTATTGGTTGTCCTGTTTTTCCTGGGGCTGCTTGTCTTTTTCATCTACCACTGCTTGAAGAGATTACCTCCAGTAGATAGGAAGAAAGCCCTTGTTTGCTTGGTAAGTCTTCCATGAGACATCCTTTTAATTTGGTGGATCAACAATTAGAGAACAACCCTGTGGAGCTCATCCAAGGGGGAAGGGGGGAGGTCAGTCAGGGATTACCATTTCCTGGGTCCTCTCACATGTGCAGAAGGTGGTGCGGGGAGGCCTTTGAGGTTCTTTTCATGTCTGTGTTTTGGTACTTTTTGATACAGTGGTACCTCGGCTCACGAATGCCTCAGTTCACAACTAAATTGGGTCGCAAACAGAAATTTCTGAAAGATTTTGCTTCAGGTCGCGAACTTCACATGGAGTAAAGATCACGATTGCACCCATCTGCCCCCTGCTGATTGTGCCCATCTGCCCCCAAGCACGCCTGTGATCGTACCTGCCTCCCTGCCAGCATGCCTGTGATCATGCCTGCCTCCCCCCAGTGTCCCCGCCTCCCCACCCAAGCGTGCCACCCAAGCTTCAAATTTTTGTGATTAAAAATAAATAGTTGCAGAACGGATTAACCTTATTTACATTGAACCTTATGGGAAAATTTGTCTTGGCTCACAACCGGTTTGGGTCACAACCAGAGTCCTGGAACGGATTAAGTTCATGAGCCAAGATACCACTGTATTCTCTGCCATTGGAAGGGGAAATAACTATATCCCATTGCACTCTTGACTGGCTTCACTCTCCCTCTCCTCTTTTTGGTGGGTTGTAGGGAATTGGGAATTATCCAAGCCACCCCTGATCTGCCCCCATTTTGCTCCCTGCCATTGCGGGAGCGGTGATGGTAGAGAGCAGAACCTGGCACCTCCATGATGCTGCCTCTCTGGTGCCAGCGCTCCTGTGGACTTCTCTCTAGATTGGCAGAAAGGGATGTTTTCATCATCCAACCATTTTTCCCCCCTCCCCTCAGGGAAGCCTAAGATTGGTCTCTAATTTTATTTTGAAGGCTTGAGATTTAAGTTTTTTTTACAAAGTCATCCCTGAACATTGGACCTCAAAAGAAAAAAAAAGTTTAAAAGACAGAACCCTAACCCTACTACCAGCTGGACAGGGGGAGATGACCAGAGTTATCTTGGTGGGCCTGCAGGCCTGTGAGTAGCTCTTCATTTTCCAGCTCAGTCCCTGGCATATCGAGGTAGGGCCAGGAATCCTGCCTGAAAGCCTGAAGTCAGTGTCAACAGGACTGGAATGGTTCAATATAAGAAAGCTTCCTGCCTTATGTCCAACCTCTCCTACTGCATAGCTATTGAAGCGATGGGTTTTATTGCCGTAATAGCAGCCAAAGTGGTACAGTGGTTAGAGGTTTGGAAAGGGACTCAGGAGATGGAGGTTCTAGTCCTTCCTCAGCCATGGAGCTCACTGGTTTACTGGTCAGATGACCCTCCAGTCACTGACTCTCAGCCTAACCTACCTCACAGTAGTTGTGAGGCTAAAATGAGAAAGAGGAGGATCATGTAAGCTAGCCTGTGTTCCTTTGAGGAAATAAGGTGGGATATAAATCTAATAATAAATAGATATAATGATTAAAAGAATGAACATCCAGATGTTGCTGGGCCACAATTTCCATCATCCCTGACCATAGTCAACGCTAGCTAAGGGTAGTGGTAGCCGTGGCCCAAAAACATCTGGAGAACCACATACTTCCCACCTCTGTTTTTGGATACAAGCATCATAAAAGTTATTACTAATAATTAAGCACTTTGGAATGTGTGTAATGCTGCAACATTCTGTAGAATAAAAAGAGAAAGAAACCAAAAGGAAGACATGTTATACAGACTTTACTTGTTTGGCCTCTAGAAGTCATTCCTCATGGTAAGGACTGAAACTGATAGTTAAAAAAGGAAAAAAAAAATAGCTGTGGAAAACAGATTCATATGCAAAAAGTATTTTGAAATGGCTCTCCAGTATGCAGTCTGAAAAGTAATATGTAACTCTTCTACCAGGTTTTTTCTGAATGCCCTGGAAGCACAACATGTGGGAGTTATTCATATACTCAGAATCAAGTTCCAGTATAACCTCTTTCTGAAGGAAAGCTTCTGGTCAGCTGAAAGATTGGTTGGAAAAAAACCTCCTTCATGTTTGCACCGAAACAAGATTTACACTGTCTTCTATTTAAAGGTTATTGGAGCTTTTCTATAAGAGGCTTTTATAGTGTGTTCATATTCCTTACTCATAGTTGTTTATGATTCCTTAGACTCTCCAGTTTAGTTTCTGTGTTTAAAAAGCGCTCTTCTCAAGCTTTTAAAGAACACCTTTTTCGTTAAAGCAAAAAAAAAACCCCCCCACAAAAATTCCACTTGTGTATTCTACTATTCTACTATATGACAGTGTCACCTAGAGGATATACAATGGAAAAGAAGGAAAGGAAAAACTGGTTGGGTGGGTTCACACAACATCAGAAGCCATGGCAAAATCTTACTGTTGCTGGTTCATCAGATGTCAGTTCCTGCCAGGTAGGATTAGTTTTCTGAAACCACAATCAACAGTCTGTCCTGATGTTTCCATACTTCACTGTGGCTTCTCCAGTTATCCAAACCCAGGTTCCACTGTTGGTATGGAACACCATAGAGTGATACAAAGATCAGGCTGGAATATGGCTGTCTTCTGCTCACTGAACTTCTTTCCCACACTTGGTCCTGACCAGGAAGTGAGTTGAGCTAAGAACAAGTTTGTGAATGCTCTGATGTATGTATTCTTTGCACAAAGTTCACAAAACCCACAAGTCACAGGTGCAGAAGCAGAACTCTGCATGAACTTGCTTCTGTCTGAATACCCACACAAACACTTGGCAAGGTGACTTAAGGAGGAGAGAAGGTGGGCCAGAGTCTGGGGAACTCACCTGAGGGAATCCAATGGATTTCTACCTGCAAATTGGATTACTCACCCAGCCATACCATAGAGTACCCTGGGAAGAGTGACCTCAGAAGTGGCCACTTCTAACCTTCAATTTTATGACCTTCAGCTCTCTAGCAACAGAGGAATCATTCCTCGCTTTATTCCCGTTGGCCATCTCCTTGTTTACTTCTGGAAGCAAGAAGCAACAGAGGGAGAAGGGGGCAATTGTGGTGAATCTTTTATTTTCATTTAACAAAAAACTCTTTGAGGATTGGAGCAGTTGGGAAGCACATGCAGGTACTCTCAGATGGAGAGAGTGGACTGATCAGGAGAAGGCAGCTGCTATCCATAGGCGGGAACAGGGAATGGGTAGGAATTTCACTCATTGCCAGGATGTGGGGCAATGCTGGGAGGATGGAGTAGGTAACCATGGAAACTAAGCTGTCCAGGTAACTATGCAACCCTCTGACCAGTTGAAGCAAAAATCCACATGCCATGGAAACAGTGAAGGGTTATTTGCTGTGATGTATGAATCCCACTCTGTGTTGTGCTCAGATCTCAGTTCTGTAACAAAACTGACAGTAAATATAGCCTCATATAGAAAAGCCTTCAGTATCTTCAGTAATTAAGCTAAATAGTACAGCAACATAAAGTAACTGTTACTTATTTAAAATATGTCCCTATGGGTTGGAAGAATAACAAAATAGATTGTATCTGTCTACTATATATTCTCTGAATTGTCATTGTCTATTTTTTCAGTCTTACTGCATATATAATTTAGTAAAAGCTTATGTCTGACCACAGTTATATTCTACAAATACTGCATACCAAAGAAGTGATTACAGTGACATTTGCATTTTGTTGGCCTTGAAGTTTGTTTTATTAGCGGGGTGGTAAGTAAATCTACTGCCATCCATTGCAAGTGAAACTACTGCCATCTGGTGTTGTTTTTTGTGACAGACAGTAATACAAATGGAAGTCACTCTGTCTGCCTTGTATATGTATATTTGAGCTCTGCACAGAAGAGTCAGATACTTGCCTTCTTCTCTATATACTTGCTTGGACCCTCCATCAGCCCTTCTCTGGAACATCCATGAAATAGTTTCATGAAATAAATCCTTGAAACATGGATGGCTACTACTAAGAAGAGAACTTTCAAATTTCCATTTGTGAAAAAAGCTTCTCAGGGATGCTCACCTAGCAATGTGCTCTTTCTGACGCAAAGTGAAGACTTCATTTTCTTAGGCATTTTAGTCTTTCAGTTTCCATTTTAAATCTGTTACAGTGTTTTAAATTGTTGTACTGCTGCTAGTTATTTTTGTTTTTCTTTGTATATAATAATTTTAAACTTTTATATTGCATTTATTGCATTGTGTTTTATGGTTTTAATATTGTGAATGGCCAAAGGAGCTTTGGTTATTGGGCAGAAGAGAAAAGCAATAAATAAATAAATCCTTCTTACATTTCAGTCTCTGCTTTGACAGTGCCTACAATTTTTCTCTAGACCCATGAATTGGTAACCGCGATGGCTAGATCAATATGTACTAGAAATAACTGAGTAGCACATGCACATGAGTGCTTCTGAAGAAGCTTGCCTCTTGTCTGGAAAAATGTCTGCAGAAATAAATCTGTAGGATTTCCCAAAATAACAAACATGTACACATACTGAAGTGGCCAAATACACACACACTGGAAGGAATTTGTGTGTGTGTGTGTGTGTGTGTGTGTATAAAGATTTTTATTAAAAAAAATTTAAACTAAAAAGCTAAAAACATCAATCATCAAATGCATTGGATGTACTGGGTCAGCCCCCTACAACGTATCTTTTTAACATTCTATAATCAAGTTCAGATCAATCTATAAAAGTTTAAGAACATCTTTAAATCTAAGCCAAGTCCCATTTCTCCAGCCAATCATAAAAAAGGTCCCAAGTTTGATAGAAGTCAGTATCTTCTTTCTCCTTCAGTAATAGAGTCAATCTGTCCATTTCTGCACAGTCCAGAATCTTTTTTAAAATCAGTTCCTCAGTGGGTAATTCCTCACTCTTCCAGTATTGAGCAAGCACAATCTTCACCGCTGTGATTAAATGTAGGATCAAATACATTTCTTGTTTGCTAATATTTTCCAGTATAATGCCTAACAAGAAAATTTCAGGTTTAAAAGCTAAGGGTTTTTGTAGCATTTCCTCAAGCCATTATGTATTTTAATCCAATACTTTTTCACATATTCACAAGTCCACCA